CCAATATCGCGATTTAATAAAATTTTTGATAAGCTAATCTCCGAGTATGATGCTAGTATACGCTCTCTATAGGAGGCTTATATCAAATTAATTCTATAAAGTACTGGTTGATGTATGAAATGGAACTTTCAAATATTTCCGATGCTGTCATTTTCCATTCTCTAATTAACTAATGGATTATTTGACTCATATGTACATACAGGAATTGATGACATATGAATATGGATTATCGTTGTACTCTAATAGATTTTCTCAAAAAGGTATACTAATATTGTATGGAGTAATCATACAATATTTGTATGAAACAGGTGCTTGTTTAATCGGCAACTTGTTAAATTTAAACAATACAGAAATATTGTACAAATTGATAAAAATATCTAGCCAATTTTATTTTTACAAAATATTTCATATAAATTTGTACATGGTTTCCGCACGGTGTAATACTAAGATATTTCGATAAAAAGAAATTAATGCAACTTAAAGTTCATGAGTATAATATGAAAGATGATTGAAGACAACGTATTTAAGGATTAATGCGCGAGGTAACAACGAGTGGTTTTGGGTGGTTTCATTCGTGGTACAATTAGTATCGCGGCAGAATTGGAGAGAACACTTGTCACTTGACTGTTGTCGCGCGCTGGGACGCGAACGGGAACAGGAACGGTCTCTGGCATTGTCACTCTGCCATTGTGCAGAAGTTAGTCGCTCCGCTGTTACATAATAGTTGGACGACTGTGTTATTCGATTGCATAATTCCAGTTGGCGGGCCATGTAACACGCACATAACTCGCATATGTACCTTGTTGATACCAATTGATTGCCGGCGGGCATCAGGTCGGCCACGTTTCCGCATCGTTCCTAACTTGTATCAACACCCGGTGCGGTTTTCACGAGATTCGTGAACTGCTATTTACGATTCGTCATGAGCACATGCGTAGGTAAACGTATAGAGGGATCGCAAGCATTACTTGCGCAACGCACGTTTAAAATGCATTCGATGTTTTTCTATTTATGTTATATTAGCATCTGTGTTTCGCTTTGTTTCTCCGAGGTGTGCAGAGTCGTTTCTGAAATCGCTTACGTTGAAATATTGTACATACAGTTTGCCACTGACAATATGAATTAGTCAAGAAGTTCAATAATTTGCTACTCGGAAATATATCTGAATTTTTAGAAAATTATTATCTTGCATTATACAGGAAAAATGCGTTGCAACGGGAATACATTTACAACGCATTTTCCTGGATTTTCGAGAAAAAGAAAAGTTTGATTATATTATAAGTATTATTTTATTAATTGCAAATTGTAACGTTATTTCTAATATAGTAATTTTTCTAATACAATGTTCATAATATATATTTTCGTAAGGCAACGAAGTTATAAAAAATTCAAATTTGGATAAAGTTTTTTTGAGTAGAAATTTGCATTCACGGGAGATATTCTTTCATTATAATTTTATATGAAAAATTTTGCAAATCAACGTAGTATTTCAGGAATGCAAAGTACTTTCGTACATTTTTCACAAGTAAGAGAATCAGTTCCAGATGTGATTTATATTTCATGTCGTGAAGGAGCAGAATCGATATATTAGTTTGGATGTTCCTGCTTTTCCTAGAATTTTTGAAACTCGTTCGCAAACTTGATCAGATGTATGACTCATACACGGGAATGCGTCTGCACTTTTCCATTATCTTTGAATCAGTATTCCTTCCGTCGCGTGCCACTGTATTAAAATGTAGATCACCGTGTTTTCCGTCCCCTGAATCAAAATTTTCTCCGAAAAATGTCATCCTCTTCGTTTTTCGTGTGTATATGTTAGTCAGGTTTCAAACGTAAGAAAGAAATGAAATCGCGTCCGTCACATATGGCATGTTAATTACGTAAAAGCAAAATTAAGAATGAATGTTACTATATTACAAATAGGAAAATTATTTACTTTATTCTTTACAAGCTGAAAAAGACGTAGTCTGTTCTTTTCATTTTATCTAATGTAAAATTAATGGCTTAAATGGTAACGATATTATAGTTATTGTAATCACGTAATTATCTTCCAAGAAATAACAGCATAGCGAAACAACGTGTTACCGAGTGTGGTGCCATAATTTATAGCACAAAGAACGGAGATTAATGCGTCTGCATTCTAATGTATATTAATACAATCTCCAATACAATGAATATACATTTTCGTGCGATGCTGGAATCCAACGAAATGCTGAAGAATCACAAGCGGGAAGTTTGCCAGTTTCTTACACATCAGCGGAAAAATAACGGATAAGAAATCGAAAAACGACATAATACCAGGATTTTATTTGTAGACGAGTTTTGCGACCTAGTTTTCTTGGAAATCAGTTTTATTTTATATTTTAGTAGCAATATTTAAATTACATTGACGCTTTTACACGAGAATTGACACTGAATTGAAAAACGAAAAAGAAACAAGAACTGGCAGTCGCACAACTTGTCTTCTGTATTTCGAGTCCGACGGGTATATTCGTTTCGAAGCCGTTACGTAATTCATAAAATGTTGAGTTACCATGAACGACTCTCTTTGTGAAAAGAAACGGGAGATTAATGTTTCGAGTTTGAAATCCTGCGGAACTTTTACGTTACATCGCGTATGTCACGAGGAGGAAAACACCGGTAGCCTGGCTCTTAAATCCGGGAGCGACGATGCGATCCGAAATCCTCGTTATCCTCGGTCACAGAACTGTGCGACAAGAAACGTCTCGCGTCCTATTCCGATTCTACGATAGGATTCTTGGGTGCGGATTTAGCGGCACCGAAGATGCACTGTTCGACCACCATAATATCGGCGACAAGAAGCCCGTTGGAAAGCAGGGGACCAGGGGTTCACGGGGGTGCATATTACCGATGCAGGGGATGTCGTCGGGACGCGCGCGCGCGTCCCGGGCTCATTTCCATAACGGGTTAGGTACATATTACCGTACGTATGTACGTATCTATATGCGCGCTCGAGTTACGAATAGATGCATCACTCGGCGGATGCATCTTGCGAGAGTTACCTTCGACGCGGTTCGGCCTCACCCGACTCGACGGAAGCCTCTCGAAATCTAATGATACGTTGTGCATTAATCTCGAGAATCGCCGGTCATTGTGAGGTGGCTCGGCGAAATATGACGACGCCGAGCTATATGAAGGCGATATTGCGAATCCCAAGAGCCGGCAAAAGCCGCGACCCACGGGAAATCTTCGGTGTGTTAATTCTTTGGGAATAAACGGATTTTTATTGCGGTTCCCGACAATGCGAACCGTTCAATTCGTTGCAAAAATGATTTTCCGACGCATACAATTTTATTTTTTAAAAATGACTAAGGCTTGTTTAATAAATATACGCGAAATTATATCTATTGTTGGGAAAATATAAACTTCTGAAAAATATAAACGTTTCGATAGGAAATCGATATTTATTGTATAATTGCTTTTACGTAATATGAATACCAAAAAAACATTATCAGATATTTTAACTGAGATATTGTGAATTATTGTAGTACGCGCAGCACGGTATGATGTTAAAAACTCTCCGATAAAATGTTCCGATAGGATCTCGTCAATCTCGTCATGAATTCGGCTACGGCTAAATTGCCGAATTGTCAGTTTGTCAAGTGGATAAATCGCGCAGTTAGATAATATCGTCGAATGGACAAATTGGCTAACGTGTTGCGCTGGCAATAACAGGCTCACTGAAATGTCGGAAAAATTGCCGGGGAAAAACTGAGAAAAATCAACGAAATTGGGAATGAAAGGGCCAGGGAAAAATATCGAGGGCCTCTGCGTGAGTTAGCGCGTGTAAAACATGATAGCGCATAACGTCGAACTTCTCTCCTACTAATAAAATGTAAAACGTCCCAGCGGAGCGCTCGGGGCGTTCCGCGGTCGGGGGAGCGGCGACAAAGTACGCTTATCAACCTTTAATAAAACGGCCGTGTTGCATAATTCACGCACTAATTTATGCGGCAACTACTCCCGCCGTACCGCTAGTGGAAGCCCCGTGTTCCGCACCGGCGAGCATCGTCCGGTTCAATCGCCCGACGGGATCGCGGGCCGGAGTACTTTCCAATTCGGCGATTATTTGGACGGGTCTGGGTCAAAGGTTTCGTTGTTTGCTTGCCCGTTTAGCCCGCCGGAGCCTTCGTAATCGCGTGTTTGCCGAGGGAGCCGGCGGACATGTAACCCCGGACACCTCCTGATTGGCAAACATGCATATTTTATCCGCGGCGGCTCTCGCGTTCAGATAACGCGCGTTGCCCGTATCAATTATTCGTCCTCCCCCCCTTTCCCCTTTCGTCCAGCTCTTCCCCCTCTCCCCTCTGAAATTCGACGCGGCTTTCTCTCTCTCTAATGGGGACGAGGTTTTAATTGAAATGTAATCCCAATTAAAATGAATCCGCAATCCTCGACGCACGAGTGCGTGTAATCATGTTAGCGAAATGAAATGTCCACTCGAGCACGAGTATGCAACCGTCGCGGAGAGAACGAGCAGTTTTGTGAACGGTAATCGGACCGTCATATCCCTTGCATACAAGTGCAAATAGTTTTTTTCATAAACATGAAATAGGTATATCATTATGCGCGATTACTTTGGGTTCTACGAGCAACTGATTTTTAACGTAGCACGCCCGCTGCATGCCGGAAGAAAAGTACATAAAATTAATAACCTGAAAACACACATGTGAAGAATTATTATTATTAAATTATCCGCAAAATGAAAATATTTATTAACGGAGATGTTGTTTTTCTATGAACATGTAGAGTAGTAAATTAATGAAAGTAATTGTGAACGTTGAAATACATATATATATGTATATAAATGTAACAAAGTGTTAAAATATTTCTGATATAAATATAGATATTTATTTATCATTGGTTAGACAGTAATTAGTTAATTCCGTAATTTTTTCTTTTGCACCTTACAAAAACTAGAGATATTTTCAATCGAAATCCAGAGCTTTTCGCTGAATGATAATTAACAGACACGTACGTTAATTTCACTTTCTCAATATATTTATTCAGTTTCTTTATCCATAACGACTTATCGTTTTATGCATTTCAAATATACAGTCTTATATCTGGCATGACTCGCATTGTCACGTATATACAATAATTTTCTCAAAATATTACGTAACAATTTCACACGCGCCCTTAATCCTGAAATATATATATATATATATATTTCTTTGTTTGTTCTAAACACACCAGACATTATGTAGGATTTGCGTTTCATCAATGTGCTACGCAATACTTTGCTCGAAACTATACGTATTCACTTGTCGCAAATTCCAATCGATCTCCACGTGTCTTGATCCATACACAGTAGAAAAAGACTATTCATTTGTATAATATATATTGCAACGTATATTCCAGTAAATATCGAAAAGTATCGATACCAGAAGTTCGAGAAGCTTACATAACTTTATAACTGAATTAAATGTACATATTGTCGAGCAGTTTTATTCGCAGGTAAATGTTTAACAAAGTGAACCTAATTTTCATGCAGGATGAAAAGTGCGGAACGCGATGCTGACGACTCGTAACGTTAACAATCGTGTGTTAACGATGAGATTTTATCCACTAATTTACTCGATATCATTTAATACTATTCCCTTACTTAAGCTATCTTTGTGTTTAAACGTGCCGTTGCCCTTTCTGAATACAGCACCTTTGCGAATACTTTCTATATTTCACAGGCATCTGAAACTACTTTCGGATTTCCTGATCCAATCGTACGATGTGATAATCGAAACGAAGTTAATACCATATCTGTCATACACTCGAGTTCAAGGGTACAATGTAATATAATGAATATTAAAAAGATATTCTCTCTCTATAATTTATAACAATAAATTAAATAAAACATTGCCAGAGAAAATGCATAACGTTACGTAAAAAGAAACCTTTGTAGTATAGTACATGCTGGGAATTGTTTTTATCAATATCTTCATACATATTTTTTATATCGCGATTGACAAATATGGTTGAATAAAACGGAAAGAGAACTTTAAAGAACATATACGTGGGTTTGTTAGATAATACATCAGTGATATCGTATCAGAAAATAAATACTATACACTTATAATCGTCATTGATGACTTTAATTGAAATTTTCATCATTAAATTATTTTCTAACGCAGTTATCTCTATGAGAGAAGATATGTGAGAACTAAATTCTTCGTAAACCTTAAACATTAGACTTAAAATTAGGACTAATAGGGCGTATCTAAATTAATAATTCAATCGTAATCTTTTATGTTAAGATCATGTTATCGTTTTCTATACTATCACAGATGATTGGGGAAATATTCTAATAGGCTAATCATAAGATGCGTTAGACTTTTGGTGCGTTAATACGAAAATTGTGCGGTAACAATGAATGACGTACAATGATCTCTCTGCATATTATAAGTTATTAGAAGTATCTTTTTTTATGGTCAAGTAGGCTATAAATCGGATTAATTAATATATCTTGATAAGAAATCCGAATCGTTGCAATAAAACAGAAAACTATCCCGTGCGAGTCTCCTAACGCGATTCACTTCATTATATATCGAGTTGTAGCCGTTTGTGAGCAAGGATTTTAAACTGTAACAGGTTCTTATCTCTACGCATGCTTAAGTTACAGCCCGTTGAAGCAAACTGATTCTCAATACTGCGATTTTATGAATATTTCTTCTTAGAAACATCTAAAAATACTACTTTTATTTTATATCAAAAGATTCTGCAGGACCTTGAAGTTATTTGTAACATATAGTCAATATTTGAAATTATATACAATTTTCGTTTACGTCTAATTTGTAGTGCATAATTCGCTTAGAGTTACACGGGTCCATATGATTACATTTTACGAACATGCGAACAAATTAAATTGCATTTAGACATTTTATAAATTTACATCATGTCTTGTACATAGTTTTTTTTTCATCGAATGAATTTTATCATACCACGGGTAATTGTTCGTCTCGGATAGATTGCCTCGCAATATGAACTATACCAGCAGTATGGCATAATTAAAAAGATGCGAGAAGGATAATTCATAAAATTTTCCTAGTCACATATTAATCTAACAATGAATATAGCGATCGGTTTGGAAGTTATCTCGTAGGAAATTTTGGCATGGTTCACAATTGGAGGGAATCGAAGGCATTTCATTGTAATTTTAGCGATTGCAATATGCGAGCGTTTCAAGTGCTACAATGTTCCTCCAACGTTATTTATTTTTAAACGACGTGCCTGTATAAATGCGAGTATTTGAATAACTGTGAAGTGCACATTATCTTTTAATGATGGAATAAAGGACAGGAAGCGAGAAACGTGCGGCTGAATATGGGGATTGGATTTATCATTAATCTGCTTTGCCCGGATTTGCTATTTCGTAATCGCGTCAATAACGCACGACGTATTATTTCAGCAATATTCCCAAATTTAATTGCGTTCATGGAGATATTATTTCGCGCTTATCGCGATTACGATATAACGCGGCCTGTATATTTATTTTTACGTTATTTCTGTAGCGTCCGTATCCCTGTCAAAACAAATTTGCGTGCTATTTAAAGAATAGTTTATCTGGCCGAGCATTGAAAAACTTACACAATTTAATTTAATTATTACCTTAAAGATACATCCACGTTTATTATTAAGTAAGCTTATATCATAGAATTTGTTTAATAGTGTCGAGCATAACGATTTAAGAATGTTTAGGCGACAATTTAGGCCCACTTTGTTAAATTCGGAAAATCGATAATACCGGGAATTTTTGAAATGCATCGGGTACGCTTTGTTTCGCATAAGAATATATCGAAACGATTGACTAGCGAACATAGATATTCCTTTTTGCAACGGTGAACCACCTCGTGTGCGAACTTCCGTGTAGATTACAAGCTTCGTCGCTTTGACAATTTACTGAGCACTATGATTTCTTCATTTGGCCGAAGTCAGAGTTCTTCGGGGAATACAAACCCAATTTCAGTGTCAGTTCCTTGGGTTTTCTAATATTATTTCTAACGGGAAATGGGCTGAAGTGCGTCTTCGGACTCGGAGTGGTGTCAATATTTTCGTCGTCTTTATTCGCGCTTTCTATGCTACCGAGGCTTAGGGTCGATTTCTTATAACAGTTCGATCCTGTATTAGTCAAATCGCTATACTTGTCGACACTTATTTTGCCCGGAGATTCTGGATGTGAGACGGCAGGCCCTCTCATTTCTTCCGTCAGATTTGGGGAGAGTCTCGGAGTGTAATGATTTGGACTAGAAGAGAAGTATTCATCTCTGAATTGACGATTGGGTGACAGCACATTATAGTCGCGATGCCTCATCGGTAGATACGAACCAATATCCGTTTCGGATTCCATCACGTGCGATAACGTACTTAAAGGCTTGTCATAGTCTGCACTTCTGACGTGAGAATAGTCCTTCGGTGATAAAGTATTGTACTTATAATGTAAATGATCCGCGTCGCTGCAATAGTCCTCGATATCCAGGCATTTTTCTTCATTGCTGATATACTTGGTTTTCGTCGGCGTAACTGCTTCGTTGTCATCCTTGCCGTAGTGAGAACTTGCCGCGTTTAAGGAAACTGCCGATCTGCCATCCTGATCGATCGCGCCGGTCAGCCTTGTTGGCAGCTCCTCGTCGTATCTTACGCGAAACTCCAAGGATTCCTTCGATAATATCGGGCTCTTCAAATGCAGGTCGTAGGGATCAATAGAGATCTTCGGCTTGGGATCCGTGTACTCGAATGTGAGATCGCCTGGTTTATCATAAGCGGTGTAAGGACTGTCCCGTGGCGATAGCCTATCCGGGATGTCGTAGCTTTTGTAAGATTCGTAGGTGCTCTTCAACGACGTAGTGTCGAACTGGCTCGTCTTCGGCATGTATCTTGTCGCGGTGGGCACTTCCGGATAAGGGGAAGTGTTGGCAATGTACGAAATGGGGGACAATCGTTTCGGTGGTATTTCTATACGCGAGTCGGGTAGCGCTTGTACATACGAGAATTTGTCGAGCTTCTTTAGCTCCTTATAGATGTCTATGTCGCTCCTGGGCGACATGCTCTGCTCGTATTTCAAAGTCGCGAAGGGAAATTTTTCAGGCTGCATTACAACTTCGTGCGCTGGTTCCAAGTCGTTTCTGATCTCAATGGAATCATTGGAGGATTTGTAGGAAAATACGTTGGTCGAAATGCTGGTAACATCGAGACCGTCCGTCTCGCTTATGTTCTGGCTTGACGAGCCTTTCTCTAAGTTAATCATACTCGGTGGCGAATCCTCGTCATAATTCGCCAGCAGTTTAGAGAGTTCCTCGTTTATCTTATGATCTATAAGCGCCTCTCGGGTGTCCAAGTAATCGTTCGATATGATCTCGTCTAAGTCTAAATGATCAATTTGTTCTGTATCGTCAATCAGAGACAGTTTTGTTAATTCTTCGTTGATCTTTGCGTCAAACTCTGATACGCTGGTAGCACTCATATTATCGAAGTCCTTAAAATTGATTCGCGCCAACTCCTCGTTTATTTCGTGCTCGTTCAGACCCATTTTCTCGAGGATCGGACTGAATATTTTCGAAATTTCTTCGTTTATCGGACTGATGGTGATCTCCTTGGATATTTCTTCCAGATCCGGTAAACGTTTCTTCGCTTGGCAAGCTAGAATCTTGTGCAATATAGCCGAATTTTCTTGAATAATTTTTAACGCCCGGTCGCTGTTTCTGCGTCCGTTGTCGCTTTTCTTTCGCGGTTTTACCTTCGTCCACACACCTACCTTCGATTCTCTACCGTCGTCTGTATCGCTGTTACTTTGGTTGCAAGCTATGCTCTTCAATATACTGTCGCTGTTCTCATCGATGTTGATTTTAGGATACACTACATAAGATTTCCTACTCTCACGTATTACGTTTATGTCTGGGATTTCTAATCGCCTCTTTGAGAAGCCACTCGCCGAATTGCTAAAAGTATCCTGTCGTCTTGCTTCCAGGTTTTTCATGTCCTCCCAGATATCGCTCGATTTTTTCGTCAACATATTGGTTTCGGGCGATCCATCGCTGAGAGCTTTCGCCTCCAAATGCTTCATATCCTCGAGAATATCGCTGCATCTCTTCTTCGCTATGGTCGTACTGAATTCATCTGTCGAAACCGAGGATTTAAAATCGGTACATCTTTTTTCCAGACTGCTAGAGCTTCTTTCAGTCAATCTCGATCGGTCTCTACGTCTGTAATTGTAGTTCAGATAGTGCTTGTCGAGCTTCTCGTGCGGCAATTGAGGCACCACATCCTTTTCAGAGAGCGGATCGTCCGCATTGTCATCAGCGAAATCTCCGCTCTTCCGATAGGACTCGTCACCGATCGATTCGTAAGAGTTCAAATCAGCTTTGCTCTTCTGTGTGTAACTCGTCTTCAGTTCTGTATTCAACGCGAATTGCGGTCTAACATACAAATCACTTCTCTCGGAGATTCCCTCGTTTTCCTTACTCTCGATTGACTTTGTTGAGGGATCCAGTTTCGTTTGATATCCCGAGAACTTGGTCGAGTCCTTCGAACTGATCGATTTCGGATCGGGCGAGGTTTCGGTGCTGTCTATACTGCATCTTCGCTTGCCTACACCGTACGGCGAAGGTGTCTTCTGATTAGGATTCGCGATAGGATAAAATGGCGAGGTTGCGGTGCTCAAGTCGATCGGCGAATCCGACACGTTGTCTTGGTCTCGTTTACCGTAGTTTGAAGTATATCTTATGGAGTTGGCACTTACAGGCGATTGCAGATCGGAACTGAATGATTTTTCGGAAGACTTAGCTTTGCACGGGCTGCACGAATCACTGGAACTGCTAATTATCAATTTCGGGCTCGTATCAGACTTAATCCTTAAAGAGTCCGTGCTGATCGGAGTTGACGGGCACGATATTTTCTTCGAAACCGGCATCGAATCGTCCAGAGCGGTATCCGAACCTACAGAATGGAGAACGAGAGTTTTAGAATCCGAGCTAATGGATGAGCAAGCCGATTTGTCTATTGTGAAGTCACGAGAGTCCGATCTGACTGGCGTTCTCGGACTCACTGTCAGACTAGAAGGTTTCGAGTCGGGACCCATCGTCTCTCCAGAACTGAACGACTTGGTGCTTTCCGGAGATTTCGGGCTTTTCTTGAAACTAGAATACGATTTCGTTTGTACCGGCATGGACTGTTTATCGCTGAAAGCGTCTTCCTTTAAATCACCTTCAGAACTGGTCAGATTCTCCGGATTTATCGCGACATTGTATATTTCGTGCGACAATTTCGTCAACTTGTCATCCATGGTTACCGGGGAAATCGGAAGATGACCTACAACGTATCTCTTGGAATAAAAAGGCCGCGATTCTGCCGCGGCGTCCAGAGCTCTGCTACTCACAAAATCCGCGTCATTCGAATCATCGTCGCTTTTTGAATCCAAATAAACTTTGCTGGAATATCTTGAGGAGGATTCAAAGGGCTTGTCAGTCGTGTCTAAATGCGTGATAAATTTATCGTAATTCTTATCTAATGAGATACTTGTCGGTTCTCTGGAACTATCCCGTAGTATATTCGTAGTAGTTTCCATTATATCCGTCTTAAGGCCTGTACTATCTTTACCGCTAGCCCGAATGATTTCGTTTTTCTCTTCCATATCTTTCAGTCGATCCGTTCTATGTAGCAGAACATCGTCCGTTCTCTCGAGATTAGATTTAAGACTTAAATAATCGTAGTTGTTCGCAATCTTCGACGATCTTGGCGCGTCTTCGCTCGACGTATAATCCCGCGACTTCGATTCCATTTCCTTCGTCTGCGATCTCTCGACTGGATAATCGCCTATCGACAGCTTGTCGGCGTCGTGCGCGCTCGGTATCTGAGGGACTGTCGTATTATTGTCATCTTCTGCCGAGAGCCTCCGTATTTGATCGGTGATCTTGGCGATCGAGATTTCGGACAAGGACGGAGACTTATCGTCATATTCGATTTTCAAAATTGTATCCGTCTGCGGTCCCTCGATCATCTTTGTCGGTTCACTCTTAATATACGAGCGCGCAGGTGTACTCGCCGAGGTCGACGAACCCTCGTAAGCGTGCTTTTCATCGTCCGTCGCCATGACGTAAGAGTCGGACGCTGACGTAAGTTCCTCGCTATCGACGTCGCTCAGACGATCCGGCTCGTCGCACAGCTCCGTCGAGGTGCTATCACTGTCACTGTCGGCGGCGCCTCGGCTGGGTGACGTTACAGAAGACGTTTCTGGAGGCGACTGCAAAAATGCCGTACCAAAGGCGTCGGCATCTGTAACATAAAATAGAAAATATCAATAAATTGACTACACAGTTCTGAAACCGCGATTAATCTGACCATGAGAGACAAAGATAACTATTGGTATCACAGATAATAATCGCTAGTCGATAGATGGATGTAATTCTAAAAGTATTATAATATATCTGTTGTAACTTATGTATCAATCTTTGGGTAAACTCGGAGGGAAAATTATTCGCGCGCGCGATAGAAAGACGACTTGGCTCGAGAAGGTACAAAACCGGATGTTGACCCTATCTGCCACACCTGCGTCAATACTCGTACTTGCTGATATCGAACGTGTAGCAGGTGGTTCTTTGTATCTATTCTGGAGCATTGGACGTTCAGCAACTGATAAGCGTTACCATGCCCCGCGAACCTTACCATCAGATGGAAGGTTCCATCTTATTCTCCGCTGGTACGCTTGCCATGAGCAGGTCAATACGATATCGTACGTTCAACGCAGTTTTCAACATTCATTTTGTAACATGCAATTTCGTTTTTATTTTCTGTCTAAATTTCTGTAAGGACTATTTTTAGATAAAAAAGTACGTACGTAAAAAATTATTAATTTAATTACTAAACATATCTTTGCTGTTAACAATGCATTGCATTTATAATAATAACTGTGCATATATATATATATATACAACTGTTATAATATATGTATATGTATATTTTTTATTTTAATTCTATTTTTATCATTACTTACACATTTATTGTTATCTATATGTACGTACTGTCTTATATTTTACATCTTATATCATATGTATATTTTAAAGGCCTTGTGAGTACATATTCAAGAAATAGTTTGCGTATTCCTCACATCTTTCACGTAACAAAAATACTTTCAAATATTGTCACAATACTTTTGAATGTTTTTTTTTGTAAAGGATGCTCTTTATTGAGTAAATTTTTTCTGATGATTGAATGCACTTACCACCAGCATCGCCGGCTCTTTGCTTCGGCCTTTTTGCGTCTTTCCAATGAAGCGTGACACCTTGTCTGTCTCTGCGACTTTTTGGGCTGTGAAGGGCTGCCGGCCGTAATTTCGATGTGGCAGTGGCAGACGGCAAACTCAATGGTCGATTCTTTCCACTTACGAGGGCATTTTTACCCATTAACAGATGATTCATAGCTGTGGAAGTGGGCGTAGGTACCATGGTCTGTCGCGCGCACGCGGCTGTAGAATACAAGGAATCAGAATAAGAATAGTACTTATTTTACTATTAGCGAAGATAAGTTGAGAAATAGCCCTAATATTCTTACCCACGCACATAAGCAATTTTCGAGAACTATAAATATCGATAAAAATATTTTATGCCTTCGTTATATGAAATAAAATCTTTGTTATCGTTTTGCTATTGTGTTGCCTCTTATTGGTTCGTAAAACGATATCGTTACGTTATAATAGAAGGTTTTAAACCTTCCTCTTTCGTATCTTTAGAGAACATTTATATGACAATATAATTTTAATATTTAACCAGTTGCATTTATCGTAACACAAAACACTTAACATGTTATAGTAATATTAAATATTGTTCGTTCACATAACTCTCATTTTTACAGTTAGATATTTTGTCCTCGCGATTCGTAAAAATTTTTAGTATATTGATTTCTGAATTCAACTTAAAAAAATTTTGTTGTATATCATACGAAAATTTCACCGACGGTTTCGAGTTTATCGGCACATGCCAGTTAAACGTTATTGCTCATACAGTTTTCATTTACCTATGAAGAAGGTGTATGACGCGGCTATTTCAAATTGAAGCATATCACGCAGAATTGCAACCCGGGATTTTCACGTGATAGGTCATAATATCTCGAAAGGTTACGATGTTGTTATCGTGTATTCTCGCCCGGATGAAAATACGGTTGGACGATAGCGTCCAGCCATAAACACAAACGTGAGTTTAGTTTCATTCATGAATATAAAATGAGCTGGCTTACAGTGGCAAACAGAAGACGGTAAATATCGCTGCTAACGTATTGCTACTAACGTATCGCTGCTCGTAAAGCTTTTATAACATGTATCATCAAACCTACGCACGTTTTTTGATCGTAAAGGTACACGAGGACCGTGCAACCCAATTTTCGTGATGATTCCAACGTACATGGTAACCTTCCAATAATTTGAAACATTATTGACAATTAGAGAAATTGTTACGATACCTTTGTTGCAATATAATATACATGCGTATTCGTTATATTGTACGGATCACATTTAATACGGTCAATTTTTCTTTTAATAGCGATTTGATTCCTTTGCATTTGATCCAACAGACTTACACGATGCATTTATTGTATATTATAAATTAAAATATCTTACGTATACTAAATGTGATAAAACATATTTTGAAATCTTGAATTGAATACCGTTACTAGAATATTAATTCTAGAAAAATGCATCTTTAGTTTTCACTATTTATAGAACAATTTATAGAACGCTTGCTATACTCATTTATCATTACCAGAAAGTATTATGTGCGCTTGCCGCTGCCGTTCCCGTAATTTTGCATATTGTTGCTTCAGCGTACTAATATCTAAAGCAAGGCGTTCTCGATCGCTACTGGGTGCCATCGCTTGTAATGCTCCTATTGTCGAAGGTATACGATCTGAAATTGAGCATTTCTTTTAAAAGAGAGTAGTATTGGACAATATAATAGTTTAAGCTTTTGTATTTCTTTCGCAAAACGAGTTCTGCGGCAATTTAAGATAACAATTGTATCTGTTATTCATAATGTGCAGAAGTTTGATTTGCGCGCTGTCTCTTAAAGCAAAAGTGTTCATCAAGTTGGCTAAGAAATCAATATACTTTGAATACAGTATAAAAAATTATAATATTATTATCATATTATAATTATACGTATTAAAATATATTGATATTTGTGAAATTCAGCTTGTAGAGCAACGTTATGGTGATTCGTATCTTTGCATAGAATATTAATACCATGGAAAATCGATCGAATATGAAGAGTATGTTGTTATTTATTTTATTTTAATGTTGTTGAAGGACTCGCTGAATTCGTTAAAAAATTACAATCACCTTTCTTTATACGTTGAGCCATGCTGAACATAGCAGCCGCTACAGCCAGTCTCTCATCCTCTTCTGTTTCGCTGTCATCGTCGTCACTCAGCTTGCGCGCCCACGGGGTGATGTTATATCGATGCTTTTCTCTCAAACTTGTCACACCATGCAAGGGTCCCATGCTAACAATGTTCTGTCAAAACAAGTCGCCAGTAAATAATGTTACAGCGTTATTGATAATATAACCGTAAGAGGCAGAACAAAATTTAAGTGATATGCAGCCTTCGGCTGAATTATATTATTATCAAACTCTGTATGAATAATTGTACTCAACCTTTATGAGATTGTTCGTATCGGTGAATTCTAGCATTTCCCTCGTGAGGACTCCCATTATACTGTAGAACTCGTCCGCCGATGTTACGGTCATTATGCGACTATAGGAACAATTAGTTGTTTTATTTGTGTACATGTCATCAGAGAAATAATTCGTGATACTAAAAAATGTGTATAAGCTTAACGTAAATTTAAAACTCACTCTGAGAGACCTTCCCAGATAGCGAGTGCCGTTCTAAGGAGTACTTCATCACCTTCGAGAAATATCAGATCCCAGACACGAAGTACTGCTTCCTGCGGTAAGCAGTGGCAGAAAAGTGTAAGGAACCATTGCATGGTGAACACATTCGTGAGCGGTGGTTCGTAGCTGCTTCCTGAAACAACGTAATATTATATACCATAATCCACAGCAATTAGATAAAGTGAGAGCGATCGGAATCAAATTAAATTATTTCAAGATTATTGCTGTCATAGTAAACTACATCTTTCGTCCATCTCAATCTAACAAATCTTTTTTATGTATAAATATTTTATATAGATGATTTTTCTATAAAACAGACTCAAGTGTCGATTTTCTAATTATTTTTACTCGAGAGACGTTTTCGAAAATTCTTGTATCTCATAAATACTTAGGTAAGAATTGAAAGTCTATTACTATACCATTACACGTAGTGCAATATAAACTTTTCAAGAAGTTAAAATTATTTTAAACATTGATGTCATCGGATATTCATTCAGCCAATCTATATGTATCTCAATCTCCGGCCATATCTCATCACTATTCATCTCTGTATTCCTTACGCTCGCCCTCTCAAGTTTTTATTTCATCAACCTGACTTACCCGTTGCTTTATCTTTCGCATCGCTCTGCAGTGCCTCGAGGTGTTTGGACAATTTCGGTAGTCTCGAGCGCAAAAGATCCCGAAACACCGCCATGTCCACAGAGAGACCTCGCAGATTATCGGCGAAATAGCCCTCCGGTAAAACACCCTCTATTAAATATATCATCACTTTCACAGCCGAAGATTCCGCGCGGTCCATTACTTGCAAGACGAGAGCGGCCAGAACATTCAGGCCCTGGCAGTAGCCCACGGACTTGTTCCAGCGGGCGAAGCCGAGTAATACTCGACGAAGTACCGCTTGATTGTCCCGGCCAGCAGCACCGCAGAACAGGCTGCAGCCTGTTCTGTGCAAGTCCTGCGAATTGTAATTTTACGTTGCTGAATTAGCTGAAAATTACCTGGGTAGTTTCCGACCCTTGTCAAATCAGCAGAATTAATTAATTACACAGACCAACGTAATTTCAACGAGTTTATCTTATCCCACTAAATTTTCGTAACATGTATTTGCGAATAAATAGATTAGAATTAGTATGTTACATCATTCGTTTAATGAGAATAAACGATTGAACGAGGATCAAAAAGTTGTAAATGTCAATCTCGGCAAGAAAATCTTAAAATGTAATCTACGTAGGCAAACATTAATCACAAAAGCAACCGGTAATTATTAGTTACTTGCCATTATATAGTGATGAATGAGCCGAGCATAATTAAATGTAATTAATAATAATCGGGGTCAGTCTATAAATCTATGTGAAGTTAATGTAACCTGACGCGATCAAATAGGTATTAGCTTGTAGATATTTTTAGAAGGGTAACTCTTGTTCTAATTATGCACCAGGCTCGCGTTAATCCAAACCGTATTACGTAACTAACTGTCGTTTAGTTTTTATTTTTAGTTCCCTTTTTTCTAGCTTATTTCTTTTAATCAGTTGAAACATTTATGTACTACAGAATTATGTTTGTAACTCGATGCTTTCGTGCCAAGAGTTTTAAAGCACTTTGAAATAAATGTGCCGCCATCTCTCTAAATGCTTTTCTCGGAGCTGCGCATCCAGAGACGTTCTCGCGGAATTAAGCGGGTCGCCCTTCATTTTGGAGATATCTCGACAAACTAAATATGTCACGCAGATGTAATTAAAGAAAAGCGTATTGTTTACTGGAGCTTCTAAAGTACTTGAATAACATCAAGTAATCCTTGACGAATCCTCTCATCGAAAGATATTAAAAATATAGAAGGTAAAAGCATTATTTAATGTTCCAACGATCAATCGCTTATTAAAACATTGCGAAAAAAGACTTCTCTTTTCATACAGATGTGTTTACGCCAAAGTTTGTTACGCGGATGTTAGAACGGCTGAATAATAATAGTGTAGACACCTACTTTCACGATTTGTATGCCGAGTTCTTCGTCGTCAGGATTACTCCACTCGTTGAAACAGACCTTCTCAGCCTGTTTCCAGTCAACGCCGCGTTGTTCTAGATGACGTTCCGCCAATGTCAGCCACAACTGTTGAAAAATATCAGTTCGTTCCTTACATACTTCCAGCATGAATTCTCTGAATGTTTTATACTTTCTTGTTTTTATACTGCACATTTTTATGAATAATCCATTAGCTAAAAGTAAGTGGGACACTCACTCTTTTTCGAAATTCCGGTGGTATACCTCCTTGTAACTTGGCAACCATTTTCATCGCGTCTAGCCATTGTATGAAACCACTTTCCCCCGGTTGCGGAGTCAAACTGAACCTCATTTTTGTATCTTCCACTGAAATTTAGAGAGAAATTCATGAAACACTTTACTATGTAGCAATCTACAATTACAAATACAATCGCACGGTTAACTAACAGGGTAACTTTTCATAAACTGCAGTTTTTTTGCACTACGTCGTCTACGATGTAATTCACAGGTAAAATATTACATTGTCTTTCAGCGCGAATAAAAATAAATATTTATTTCCACTGAGTCAGTAGTCAGGAAAGCTTGAGTGACATAAATGCGTGAATATTCTAGCGTCCGAGTTGAATCGATAATTTGAATATTTTATTCGAAATTGCAATAGCCACTACTATCCTGTTTGATTCGATACAAGTGACTGAGAAAGTCGCGAGGTGAAGCAAGCTCGATCGCCTTTAACATTTAGTAGACGGGGCGTTGCATGATCGTTTCTATGACAACCCCGGCTGAAGAAGTGCCTGAGTAGAAGTAATCCTGCACAAGTTCTTAAAATAATAAATGATATCATATCCACGCGTTTATGTAGCACGTTAAGCCACACACGTGCTGATGAAACATGCATTGAAAATATTCAATTTCCATGCGAACAAATCGGCGCAACAGCAATATTGCTTATTGTCATCTCACAATATCTACGAATGAACGAGCTTGATCACAGATGGAATTCTATTAGTGGCTGAATAAACCACGCCAACCACGCGCTGATGTGTGAAATCGATATTATTTCTGCTTTTATAATAATTTGTATTTCGTGTTGTTATTGCAGCTACCGAACTTGTATTTCGCTAAGATTGCCACACGTTACATTTTATATTGTTTACTATTCTTGTTTTGCTATACACATTCGTATTTTTCTGGCATGTGGACGAAATAGCAAACAAAATGTTTGCTGTACGTTGCGAGTAAACACAGGTGCTTTTTGCACATTAAAATATTAAAGTTTTTCTCTATATTTTTGTTACAAGACCGTTCAATATGTACCTGTTCAGTATATGTCATTTGCAATTTATAATTCAAGTGGCTTACTAATTACACATAAGGGGAGCCACACCGCTATATAGTTTTTACGCTACGACGAATTGCGTAGCTACACACTGCTCGTCGAGTTAGCTACAAATTAAACGTGTTATACATTAAATTTTATATATATTCTGGCGCGTTAGCAAACGTAGAGCACTCCAACTTTAAATTATACGAACTGTGTCTCGTATGGAAATCGTGATAAATGCATTCGCCATAGTTCAGTTCGACAATTTTGCAAGCAATTCACGTGTATGAAATCTTAACTTTACATAAATTTGGGAAAATAATATCTATAGTTAATTAATGCCTAATGCACCTATGGCTTTAACCACATTAAGTACTGAAGTGTTCTAACGACGAGAATTATTATTTACGCTAAATGCGGTATTACTACCTTGCCACGTTTTATCCCTAACTCGTACATAAAATTATCATCCGTTAGACTTTCGCAAAGTACATGCTCGTTTAATTACTTTACACTTGGAAGTAAAAAGGCTTAACTATATCGTCTTCAGCGGCTGAAAACAAAGCATGCTTGAGCTATATGATACCCTTAACTTGCATTAAGTTAACGTTGTAACACTTAGATGTGCCGTAGTCTATCCTTCCCTGCAGGAGTATTTAACAGAACTTAATTTACGAGCATTTAGCTCACACGTAGTCTGCATGTGTGGACGTATATACGTGGTTTTACAAGGCTGACTGCGCTGTACGCGTGCAATACGAGAGGACATTAGCATGCGAGATAGATTTACAGAAACTGTCGTTTCACCTTCCAGCTCTTCGTATCTCGGGGCAGAGCCGGTACCACCGGACGCGAGGTTTTTGAGGGAGTTGAAAAATCCGTTCATCCTCCAATTAGAAGCGCCACTCTCTCGTCTTCATCGTTTCGCTTTCATCTCACACGTCTTTTATTATGTCGCGCGTACGCTCTCAACCGTTCTCGTGATTCATGATCAGCCGTTCCTCGATTTATTGTCGCGATATTCTTTTTACTCGCAATGAATCGTGACGTTCCTCCCAAATGCACGATGTTTTTACCGTGATTCTGAAAAGTCGGTTGATCCGTTGACTCAAGGCGCTAAGATAGTTTGCACTTAATGCCAAACTATCTCGATTGTATTTGCAATTAGAGAAATCAAGTTTCATTGACATTGATATTAACGTGAGTTCACGATATATATTTCTCAAGTTATTTTATTAATCATAGACAGCGTTGGAATCTGATATGATTTGCTAATGCGAGTACACTATAAAACACATCACATTAATAGGGCATAAGTGTGTGTGTGTCTTTTCTTCTAACTTATATATCAAGTAATTCATTAGAAATCCAGCAAAACGCGGAAACATTCCTCTTCGTTCTTTCCGCGCTATAGCTATGTATAGCTGTACCACCTGTTACAAGTATCACACAATGTAGATGCCCATGCACCGCAATACACGTGTAATGTATGCATACGTGTCTATAGATCGTGAAAGGTTGCAAGATCTTATTATTTGGAGCATCGCGAGTACATATTTGTTAATTACATTGCACTAAAGTACAATTTAAGCCACGCTAATTAACGTTTCCCATGTAATACGTGGTCCATGTGATGGAAAAAATCCTTGCTCGCGACAAAATGCAGATAACCACTGATAAGAGTGGCCAAGCTGATAATAAAATCGATTTTTACTTCAGCAGCGGCTGATGAAACCGATAAAATGCTCGAGCAGTTAATCCGATCGCGACTGGTTACAATGCAATTAAGAAGATGCACGCAGCGCTTAACTTATCGTTTTTCCATTTAAAGTTGTACTTGTACCATTTATGGAATCATTCCTTTTCAATCAAGCACCGCGCCAGATTGCTAGATGCATTTGTCAGATATCGTGAGAGACTAGAATTAGAATTAATTAAGGAAACTCAAATGTTAGACTTCTTATCGGATTCGTGACTTTACTTTCGACGCAAACGATCCGCTTGTGCAACATAAGCGAGAAAGTGAGAAGCGTAGGTGTCTTCTAAATCAGTCTTCTTAATCAGTTATAGTACATTAATCGTAACCGCGATTTTACACGTTGCGGTTTTTGCTTTGAAATAGCTTAGAAATGGATATTAAACCGGTAGATTCAACAATTAGAAAATGAAATCTTTCACGATTTGACGAAACCGAGTACAAATCAATATGGATTGTATATATAGAAAACGATGTTATTAATTAAGTATGAAAGGCTATTATCCAACAGTGTGAGCGGCGAACTTTGAGGAATTTTTTATCTTCATAATTCGTTTCCAAATGTCTGAAAAGATATTGATTTACTTTTGGTAATTTCGATTCCTTGATATTTTCTCGATAAGATGCTAAAGACTCGTGTCAATCAATTTATATCTCACAAATGCTCTATATCAATTAAAATTTGATTCAATATCTCTATAAAAATGCATGAAGCAAATTGAAATTGAAAGATAATCAATATGGCTTTTAAATGAAATAAACCGGCATGCTAATTTCAATTGGATGACACGCACACACTTTTATTGCGGAAAGAAATTATTTACAGATATTAAAGAATCAAATAAGCTATTACAGTGTTTTCTTCATTCGTTTTACGCTCTACAAAAGACATGAAACGTAGAAATTAATATTTACTTGCCGAATAAAATTTAATTTTAATCGCCTCGAATAAGTATATTTTGCAATCTGTCTGCTTTTTGGTCACTTTATTTCTTTTTATCATCATTTTTAGAAGTGAATTTTTCCTTTGTCTTGTTAAAGCCTGAATAGAAATCGTTCTATTTTAGAAATCACGCGAACAGTGTCTTGTCGTTTTAATAAAAGAGAATGAAGCCAATATGCGACGCACATTTTTCCCCATTAAACGCACGCGTATATGAAGCGACTAAGATTTAAACGTGCACTCCACCGCCGTTCACCAATTTGGACCAACGACGATAGCCGAAACTCAATACTTACTCGCGAGGGATGGTATTAAAGAAACGCAGTACTTTGACACTTTGGCGGAACGAGATTAGCGTGTCATCGGATCGTACCATCTTTACCACGAGACTCGACAGCGCGCTATCGGGCGATCGTTGTCGACGTCGTTGATTATGCAGCACGACACATCAATGCACATCGATGCACGTACTGTGAAGCACGGATGTACCACGAGCGAACGACCTCGACATGCATATTTGTTGCGCGGCACGATTTTGCGGGTCGCCGATGGTCCGGAAACGCGGACGCACACTCGGCGTAGGTGGAGGAGATCACACACCCGACATTGCCACTCGATTGTCCGGGAACTTGGCGGCGTCGGCGTCGCGACGACGCTCCGACAGCTGTCCGAAGCACCTGGAGGAGCGTCTTCGTACGACGAATGCGCCGAGTCAGCTGAACGATAACGGATAGGGTAGTTTGCGCGCGCGCAAAACCCCGCAACGCAACGACGGTGAGGGGGTCGCCATGAGGGGCGGCTGCCTCCTCGTGGAATCCTGCAGTAGGCACTACTGTCGTTTCTCCACGAGTCGTCGTTTCCAACCCCGTGGTGGCCGTGGCGAACCTACGTGCTGCCACTCCCGTTACAGCGCATGCGCTCGATACTCAGCTTTCCTCTTTGCATTGTTTCACCCTCCGTGCATTTGATCGTTTCAGAAAGAATATGCTCGAAATTGCCCCTCTACAATTTATGGATTTTCGATACGTACGAAATCCGAAAAATTTGTCGAGAGAACCAGACTTCTCCTTCTAAATGTATGATTGCGAGACGAGTACGAGATGAGCTTTCAACATTGTTAGAATTGCCGTTTGAAATATTTTTTTATATGTCAGGAGTTTTTCTATGTGGGATTACTGTGCACAGCCATCCCACGTACTTACACATAAAAGTTGTACAAGTCCTCGGATTAACGTGTGATATTAAATATCACAATATGAAATCCGATTAAGTCGGATCGCAGTTCAAGCGTGCAGTAGAAGTACAAAAATATTCACATGCATAATACTACATTATCTACTATAATATTTATATTGGAAGTACTATTTTTTGTAAATGATTTAATTTTTTGTTCCTGACGTTATCGGTAACCGATAATTGATAACGTCAAATGATAAACATCTGTATATTATGATTTTTTGTATGCTAAAAAATAGTGTCGAACAGAATGTCCGATGTACTGAAATTCTTCAAGCCTCGAAGAGTCTTACCTGAAAAAAATTAATCTTCGATATCTTAACGTAGTAAGTATCGGCGCACGATATGGCGGACCACGGGCTATGAAATTTTTATTGCGCTGAATAGTTCATTCGTGAGAAGATTAATGGCTACAAGCCTCGATTAAGTGGAGCAGCGTGACGCGACTTTATCTAATGTGTAATCCCATGCGAGGAGAGATTATTACATCAAGCGAACGTGAAGATTAAACCTTGAAGACTTTATTTTATTAGAGAATGTCAGTATATATCTTCGCTTATACATATGTAATAGTATTTCTGCATTGGGGGAGATTATTTCTCACAATGTAACGCCAAAATGTGCGGCAGTTTAAAGCGTGAAATAAATTGGAAGCAATCCCCGATCTCAATGTGACAAAGCTAATTATTAATATAAAATTGAGAAAAAGTATTGAGTACACAATTCTTTATAAAAAGAATGTGTACATCATTCAGAATTTGCAATATATATTTCATGCTTCCTGTATATGAAACTTCCGGAAGAATAGTTTATTGGTGGGAACGAGACAGTTTATCAGTAATTGCGAATTTAGAATTGACATCGTCATGGATTTTACCGCTTTGTGGGTCACTCGAAATAGTTAACACCGTTACGAGAAATCGAAGCTCTGGCGGATTGCACGATTATAGCTAAATATTTAAACACATTTTGCCTAACGTTGCTGTCTGGATCATAAAAATGTAAAAACGACCGAAAATATTTAAATGCATATTTTTATATAAATACCAATATCTCTTATTAACAAATTTTGTCGCGTCGCGTGATGTTCCTATTTTTTAATCAGAGTAAATAATATTTCATATTTATTATCTGTATCATGATGTTTCATGACTGATAATATGCAATATAATATGCAAATTCTGAATTGACCATACGTCAATATTGACGAAATGGTGCACCCGCTGATTCAATGCAATTTGATCAAGTCTGACCCATGTAGCATGCCAAACTCCTGTTTATTAGTAAGATGCAATTGCTGCTTACTACTCAATGAATATAGTTTCACACGAGACTGTATTAGGAGACTATAATTATGGCTATAATTGAGACACTAATTCTTCGTTACAATGAAATAATAGGATGATATTTGCAAGAAATTGCCTCGTATTTCATATGTAGTACACAGTTGGAAAATTTGTGTTTTCTTGTAAAAAAAATGCCGGTTAAAATTTTTGTGTTAAATGTTTAACGCATTCATGTGTTAATTTAACATATTGCTCTTGTGTTAATTGGCCTCAAATGTAAAATTATTAAAATACCTGAAAAGAAATGTTAAAACAACACAATGTATATTTATTTTTTTAATCTTACACAATACATACGTTCTATATTATTAGTAACCAGATTTATCTGTTAAAATTTACAGAATAAAATATTGATTTTATTCTATATAACATAAGTGAGAGTGATTTCGAAACGTCATTTGACTTACTACATCTGTAAAATGTAAAAATTACCTTTTCTAAATTTATTTTGTCATTAAAAATATGTTCATTTTTCACAAAATTTATTTCAAATTATTTTAAGATCTGCATTTATTTCGTGTTAAAATATTAACGGAGGATTAGTGTGATTATTTAACATATCCATATTATGTTAAATTAACACAAAAATTTGTGTGGACCGTTTTTGGGACATGTAATATCTGTTAAATTTAACACAAATTTTTCAACTGTGTATGCATAAACACGTTTGATGAAACGAAAAGACCTCATGTTTTATTCCAAATTCTTCGCTAATTAAGAAAAACACAGCAGGCAATATTTGTGAAGAAAAGATACAAAAATTACACTTAAATAAATATTAGTTTCAATTTTATTGAAAGTAAATTTTTTTTTTAAACTAAAAAAGAATGCGACTAATATAATATTATATTATATTCTCTTTAGATTTGTATTATGATACCGAGTCCTTTTTTAATTGTTCTATACATTTAATATTTACAGGTTTTACTAATGCATGTATATAAACAGTATAAAACTTTTTATCTAAATATCCATGACCAATTGCCCACAATCGTAAGCAATCTACCGTTATAATCGTTGCATTATGGAAACGCGATTCAGGCAATTCATAATAATCGTTCTGATCATCAGGGAGTTTCCGCATCGCGTAGTTCATTACATGTTCATTCTGTATGAGGGCGGCCGTTGAGCTTTTAGCGTTGCTGGGTTAATGGCACGGAAAGTTCATAGGTAATACTTGCGCTTTGGCCCAGAATATCGTCTTATCCGGCGCAAAAATGATAGGTCATTCAAAAATATGTGAGATCAATAAATCACCGGCGACAGAGCGGAGAACGAGAAAGCTATAACAAAGACATTTGATAGAATAAAGTACGACTTGTGCTCTATTTCCTCTTCACTTCAAGAATACAGAGAACGAAATTCAAGAAAAAAAAATGTGTCTTTCAATTTAATTAAAAAAAAACTTGATCGTCGACGAAGCACAGCGTTGAAATCTAAAAAGTCGACATTTTTATGCGGAACAGTTTGCGGCGTCACACTGTTTTGTCATCATCGCTAAATGCATGTATTTGTTGGAAGCGGCGGAGGCGAAAGTGCCGACGCGAAGTTCTCACGAGAGAAAAGCCCGATGACAAAATTGCTCCTCTGCGGCTAAAGTACATCGTCTGGCACGTACTCTTCGTCGTGGAGTTCCCTCGAATTCCTCGTGCCGGTTAAACGCCGATTATTCGCGAGGACGAATGAGGAAAGTTACGCGTATATCCGGCCGGCGAACGCGCAACAGTATCAAAACTTTATCAATGACGCCACGTCGGAACTTGGCCCACGGTATCGTACGCGGAGCATGCGTGGCTCGCTCGCGGCAAAGCCTAATTATTGATCACCGCGTCGTCGCATACAAGAGCTCGTTTCTTTGCGACCACGGCAACTTGATGACGCCACGATTTCTTCGCGACATTCAGATGGCTCTCCCGAGAACTATCTTGACAGTTTGATCGGTGTACTAGGTCGAGTTTCTAGCTCACATTCGTTGTATGATATTCGTCTCTCGCAGATATAAATATAATACAATACTATGAAGCCACGAAACGCTCAAGAATTTCTGTCACGTATTATGTTACAGTGAAAGAATGGTAATGAGAAAAAACGGTGTAATGACAGAAATATCAGAGATAAAAACGTGCGCGTATAAAATATTTCACTTTAGCTCACAATGTCAGTTTGTGTTATAGTATAAAATAAATAGTACTATTTTTAATGGTCTCGTAAGCCTAAATTAAAATTTATAATAAAAGTTCCACACTTGAAAAATTCTTGAAATTAATTGTTCTGCTAGAGAACTTTGTACTTATACCCTGTACTTATACTGAAGAAGAAAGCCAACAGAAGCAGACCTAAATCTCTTTGATCTCTTGAGATCTGAAGTTGCATTTCTAGTGAAACTCACGTGGAGATCGTGAGAATACATAATTTTGAAACTAAAAGAGTAATTTACGGTAATTATCCTTTTTTTCATAGCATTTAATTGTACTTATTATTTTTTAATGTACGATTGTACATATAATGAATGATTATTTATTATATCTAAACAAACGACAAATTCGTGAATGTAGACTTATATGAACAAAAATGCATTATGAATACTTTGCCATTTTAATTTGCAACATTTTGAATATTGAATATTTATAAGATATCTCAGCATATTTTCCGGAGTGTATTATAAAAATTTCAGAGTGGAACGGTTCAAGAAGCATACAAAACACTCTGCAGCAATGTTTTTACATCTTTTAACAGTTTTCATAGGATGTACCCAGCATAGATGATAAGCTCCTTTTCCCAGACCTATCATTTGCTTTAGTCCATAAATTTTTAATCGCAGGTAGTATTTTTAAGTGCCATCAAGCATCTTTTCAGTCTCAATAAATACTATTTCGTCTAAATATCTTAAAGGAAGCTAATAAAATAAACGAATAATTTTCTCTTTGACACAATTAAAATTCTTTACATATATAAATTAAAAATAATTACATAAAAAAGCGTTGTATATACTTTCTTTCATTCAAATATTAATAATTTTCGGTAAATACTATTGAATAATAATAGATTAGATAAACTAAAGGTTAGTGTTATTGATAAGTTACTTGAATTATTTTTCAATTTTATATGCAATGAGATATATTGCGAAATTTAAGTGCATGCAGTAAGCTTTGCGCATTAACTCTAAATATATTTCAGGAGACGAGGCATTAACGCGAAAGTATTTAAAGCGAAGGGTTTACTCACTTCTCTTCGCGCTGTGTGCTTGTAGGTAGGCCGTGATAATATCGCACTGTTTATCACATTTGGCAGTAAGATAATCCTTTCGACGCAGCTGGCGGATAAGCAGACCCCCTGTGTGAATGATGTGGTCGTGTAGAGTCATAAGTAGGATCTGCAGTTCATCCTTTCCTGCGTAAAAAAGTAGTCTTCAACAATTTTCATTAAATATTAACTATTGTGTTTGTACATTTCGTACATATATTTTTCAACTAATACGAATTTTCGCAATTAATTTTCTGTATATTATTAAAAATGCCAGATATGCTGGAGAAGACACTGACGTTATATATTTTTCAGTTACTAATATATGATCGTAGAGGCATAATATAGAGCGTAGTGGTTTAAAATGTAACAGCGAGTACTCGAATAACTCTCGTTATATTACTTTTTGTTTCGTGTAATCGCAAAAGCATACGTAAGCCTTCATTTCTCTCGTCACTGTCTCATCTTGTTAAAACGCCGTTAATTCCCAGAAAATCCTGAAAGCGCGAAAAAGCACAAAGACGAGCATATTGCGAATGCATCGAATGATGCACGTGCACGTTATATCGCGGCAACCGGTTGCAAGCCATTGCATTATTCATAAAGCCAAAGGTTGTGCGGTATCGAGAAATCTTTGAAAGAAATTTGCACGAACGACGATGATCCACGGAATAATAATGGCGTTATTAGAAAAGAAGGAAAAGGGAAGTGCGCATAATCCATTTCGCTCTCTTTCCCTTTTTCCGCGCATTAGTTGATAATCGTGTACATGTTGAATATTTTCTCCCGTCATTATTGTATTATTTAAAAGAATATTTTACTATAGAAACTTAAATTGTATGTCAGTAATAAAAACACCGCGTACTGCTTTATTTAATTGAACACCGATCGGTTCGCTATATTGTAGTTTTCTAATAAATGCAGTAATGATTTTCGATATTATTATATAACATCGAGTAAAGGCTCTTCAATCGCAGATAAAAAATTCAAAGACGGAATTGCCGCTTTTATTATTCTGAAATATGCATACTAAAGAGATGTGTTATGAAAGACTTGCAGGTTCGTTGCTGAATAGGTTCAGCGTTCTTTTAAATATTATCAAAGCAATCTCTATCGACGATTGCATAACAAAAGCTTATTAGATCTTTTTATTTACAAAAGATACTTAAAAACAACAGTTTTTTTACAAATTTACTATGTCTATAAATAACATTGAAATTTTTTACAGTTTACAGATTCAAGCATTGTGTACCTTTTGCATTTTTTATTTGAAATTACATTACTTATATCCGATTGAAATTATGTAATATATCTATAGTTTTTTTTTAGCATATTATGCGTCTTACTCTTCTTATAAAGAAAAATTTATTTCATTGCCATGTTTATACGTTGCTGACCATAATTGATCGTTACTTATTACCGGCTTTCAATCGTCGAGATGGATATGAGCTTTCATACACGGCTCTATTTTTCTATAACGCTTATGTATCCGGCTCATATCGAATTGTCTTACTTTTCAAAAGCAAACGAGTTTTCTGCAGATATTGATGTCGTGGCCGCGTTTTCAAGGACGATGCCGTAGAATCACTTTCTGAACGTCTCCTGTCACCCATCGGTATGCCGTAAATATCTAGCAACAGTTGATCCACCAGTGAGGTAATCACGATTTCTTTCGGCGAATAGCACAGGGGTGGCGGATATACCTAAAATATATTTGTTAAATAATAATTTAGAATGTTTGTTTACTTTATTTACTAAAAGACTAATATGAGAAACTGGATAAAGTGAGATATTAGAGATTTTTGATGGAGATTTTGATGAAGACAAATTATGGAAAATGTGGAAAGAAAAATTGTAGATACAATAGTTTTTATTCCAACTAGTATAATGATTATTTATACTACGATGATTACTTACTATTTCTTGATGTAGCTATCAAGTTTCATTATAATTATGTCTTAAATTTATTATCTGTACTCATATCATCTGATATCACCGTTCACATATCGTGAAACGAGATCGTAGCAAACAAATTGAAGTACTCGATTAAATGTGTGTTTCTAACATATATTTTAGTAACAGATAAATTCGGAGACTTCTTATTTAAAATTAAGTAGTTCACTTAAATCAATGTAGTAGATTTTACTCATACTTTTTATGCCATTAAGTGGCAAATCTCTTTGATGGAGATTAATTAATCTGTATTGTGCAAACGTTTACCTTAGGCTTCTTGGTAGCCACGTTACGATTCTTGGCATTCTTATAATTAAACGCGATCACACTCGGCTCATCTCCCATTGACTTGGAGCGCTTTTGCCAGCGCGAGCTCGCGACACCCGCACTTCCAGGTGATCGTTTGTTCAGTTCCATAAAATCTGGTCCGTTCAGAGTCTGCTGTATCAGGTTGCGCCTTTGCCTCCTGCATCCTGGTGGAAAAGGAGTACTCTCCGGCCGATAAGCGAGATTCCGCGTCTGCTGGCTGACGTAGATATCACCGAACACCCGTTCGTTCTCCACCGCGACGCATTTCACGCGGTAAGTGATTTCCGCGTGCTTCTTCAGCGGCGTAACGTTGTAGCTCATGATCGCTGTAAACGCGTGTTCTCCACGTACGTTGCTTCCACGGCCGTGTCCGATTCTCAAGTTTCCCGCATCGCACTGTTCACACCGGCGAACTTTGCCGCGCTGCGAGTGACCACGTGTCGTAAAACGCATTCGATCAATCTCCAGTTACGGCTACCTTTGTCGTCGTGTTTCCCATACGTTCAACTCCCGTAACGTAGAAACGGCTCGCAATGGCATACCAAGTGCCATTCATCATTAATATGCTTCTGTATTTATTTGTATTTATAACAGCAAACCAGGTTATATCTGGATGCTATGTCTTTATATTGATTTACCGAGAGTTTTAAAGTTCTAGTTTTATTCTCACAACGTGGATCTTCCACTCAGCGTGGACTCAAGATTTTTATATTTTCGAAGAAGTTTGTCGTAGTTTGGTGGCAAGCATTGTCAACCAGTTTCTCTATAAATGACAGTTATTACGCAATATTTTTGCACATCGTAAGATTTATGAAGCGCGAAACTTTATTCGTTTGATATAAATTTGTGGTTATAGCGACAAGAATATTGGAAGTGCTCTTAGATATTATAGCTGCAACTGAGTATACAGATGAGTAAGTAACCTTGGAATTGACTGCAGGATGCGTTGATAAATGATAACCTTCTCCATATACGTCACTAGTTATATCTAATTATATAATGTTTGTCTTTATTTTTTCCGCATTATTCCGCAAAATTCGGACTTTATCGTATCTGAAGAAATATGACATAAGTTTAAAATTAATTCATAAATATATTAAGTATTATGTATAAATGTAGATTCGTTATAAATATGTGTTATGATAGATGAACGTGTAGTTAACAGATTATTCAAATACAAAAAAATGTTAATACTTTCGTAAGCTCCACTTCGGCATGCAACGATTAAAATAATTCTATATTTATGAACACGCACTACTTCTCACTATATGCAAGAGTTTTATCTTTCACGCATTCAGATATCACTTGCAATTAAAGAAATTTTACACACATATTTTCTTTTAGAATTTAGAACTGATACGAGTGAACATTGTAACACTGCATTTTGATAGAAACTATGTATAAATTTTAGTGTGCGAGTTAGTTTTAAGTTCTTGTGCACAACGTATTTCTTATCGCGAGCTAGTAATACCCTTCTGGTAGCCAGACCGCAACTGGAAGTGTCGGTGATGATAATCATTTCGCTAAGTATACCTACATGCGCGTGTTGTCACCCGACTTAGTTAATGGAAGGAGGTGGAACTGAAAAATGGGACGTGTGTCTTTACTTGTAAGTTCATTTGCATTCCGTGAACAACATGTAACCGTAACTTATAAATTAAACATTTCAGTATTTTTCCGATAAACGTTGTTTCTTCCACAAACAGAAAATACATACTAATTTATTATGCAAGTACATGAAATATTTATTTTATGATTGTAACATCGGTTCGTAAATCTTTATTTTATATAAAATTATTAGAGCAAAACTTGTAGTACTATTACAAGTACTATACAAGTTCTATAATTTGTATTGTTTTAAAAAAATGTTAGAATTTTCTCTACACATTTTTAATATTTATTTTATATAGTTTTTTTTGGTAATAATTGATATTTCACATTAATAATAATTTTTTAATTAATTAAAGTCAGCATTAAATCTATGTGTACAGTCATGAATTATAAGGAAAATAAATATAAATCAGTTAACGTATATCATATTTTTAATGGACAACTCAATATTCTGTATTAAATAAAGTGAAAAATATAATCCATTTGTTTGTTCCATAGAAAAAAATTATATATATAATCGCGTTTTGTCTTGCATAATAATAATTTACCGTATTTCATTACTGTTGTCCTCCAAATGGTCAGGCAAACCATTTCTGTTATCAGTGAGTGCGATAGTAACTAGCACAATATGTAATGCAAACTTTGTTTAAATGCTAAATAAAGTCCGATCACCTTATAGGCATTCACTTGGGAAGTCTGTTGACCCTAATCTGAGAACTGTTAGAGGGACCCGTATCTGCGGCTGTACATGTGCATAAATTTCCATTTCCGTACTTGAAACTTTACTGGAAATGCGTTTGCCGCAATACATAAGAAGCTTTGTAGTTATTACAAAATGTGCTTTATTTAAAAAATTTATTAGATATAACGTAAATATAGTTAATAGTAATTATTATATTATATATCGTGCCTAATCAATTTGATGACAAATAATTATTGTCTAATTATATGATTAAATTGAAATATAAAATAAAAAATTCCAAATTTAAGGTAGAACCTTATAAATAATATAAATAATTTCAGTATATATATGTATATGTGTATACTTACAATTAGTTACACATTCGTATACATTCGTGTTTAATCGATCATGTATGCCAGTGTCGTTTCTACAGCAACCGAGTAATCATGGATGTCTTCTTGAAGTGAAACACATAGTGTGTTATCTAACTATTGGGGACTGCTTGGAAAAATTAATTACGATACATATTAAATTATAATACATATTAAATTAATGTAATAGTAAAATGGTTGATATACCATGCTCTTGTGCTGGTGAAAAATTTTCGGGTTACCAAGACGAAAGATCATCCGCGCTTGGCCCGCGTACAAGTGATGTTTACCGAACTTACAATCTTCCACCAAGATTTATGTGCCCAAGTAAGTTTTTCAGAAAGTGGGATATTGATATTGTCAAATATTTATCTCAAAGTTAAATTCTCTGGTAAATCAAGATAATTGGAAAACTCCGGTATGCATTGTGTAGAAACAAGTGAGTTTCGTTTTTCTCGGATGTAATTCAACGCGATCTACGTATAACTGCTCTTAAACTCAATATTGCAAATTTAACTGCGTAATACGATATCACTGCCTCTTTTTTTCAATTGAATTGCTATGTAAATCTGATATTCTTTCCACGTTTTTCGTTCAAACATATCCCATTGATACATTTTTAAAGTTCCCTGCATTATACGTATAAGTCTAAAGGGATAAGAAAACTGCATACATAAATGCGGCAAATAAATTAAAATATGTGATGTAATATATAAGCGCAAAAATAATTCAGTTAAAGTTTTATTAAATAGATGTACAAAAAATAGCATGAAAATTACTTACAGCAAAATTATTATTAAAAATAATGAATAAATGGATAAATACGTACATATGTCTCCCACACTTTGTATTTAGACATATTTCACTGCTTAAATTCCCTGCATTATACGTGAACATAAAAGAATAAAAAGCGTATAAATACGGAGAATTAAAATATTAAAGTAATATAATATGAACGCGTAAATAATTTAATTAAAATTTTATAAAACAAATGTGTACGAAAAGCAGGGAAATTACCGACGGCAAGAGTATTTTTTAATGTAAATAATGGATAAAATTAGTTACAGGTACGAGAGCTTTTCTCGAACGACGTAAATGTCGTTTGACTTATATATATTTGATTTCAGAAGTTGCAAGTAGCTAGCACGATAATGTTCAGCTATTAATAAGCCGGCGCAACCGATCACTGCACTCGTCGAATCTTATCAGTCCATGAATATTTTTATGTATTTCCTAATGAATCCTTTGCAAGTAACTCGTCGCGAATTGCACACAAAGTTAATATATGTGGACGGAGCGGCGCCTGAATCTTTTATCGCAGCATGTTGTATAAAGTGTGAGATCCTGATACGGTCTTGTTATTCGTTACCGATAATTCTTAGTCGTTTTCCGGTATTCAGATATAATGGCTGCTTATTGCAGAGTGTAGAAGATGAATAATTTCTAAGCGTCAATTTATAGCATCGGGAATTTTCTGGAGGAGTATTTCTGTTGAAATTTTTGTGTAACATGATTTTTATTATTTTATTACTGACCCTATTATGCAGTAAATTTATGTCGTTTGATAAAAACATTATTTTAGTGCTGTTTATTCTCAGTAACTTATAGAAAATATGATTTTATGTGTACACATGGAAATGCATAATGGGTTTAATATACTTTCACATCTACAATTATAATTACAAAGAACCGATCTTACAAACAATGTGAGAAATCTATTAATTTCTTTACACAACTAATGGAGGATAATGATATTGTTGATTACATAATATATTTCAGAAAGTCGTTTAAATCGTGCTGGCATAGTTGAAGCTCGCTTAGCCGGGGAGATTAAGTGACTTCCAATGAAGCTTTTTCGCATAATTAACTAATATTAAAGGAGAGTTATTAAAAGATAATATTATACAGGGTTCCTATAACTTATAAATTAATTACGAAGTCCCAGATAACGCGAGATGTTATGTTGTGGTAGATATACGTGTGTAATAACTTATCGCCGGTATGTATGTTCGCGTAATAAACCTCGCAAACATCGTGTACGCGAAGAAACCCCGATACACACGAGGTTAGTGCACAATCAGTCTCCGAGCACATCATGTGCTTCCTTCTCATTTATCTCCTCTTATCGGACAACGTCGCGGATGTTTTCACGGAGGACGCCGACTGTCAGGTTTACAATCACCTGTATGTCTGTTTGGAAAACGGCGGTTTTCTTCACAGCGTAGCTTTTGAGGACGTCAATGCTGTTCAGACGATCGAGGATATCGAACTACATCTGGAGAATCTCGAGATCGTTAATGTCACCAGAAACGCCTTCGCCGACGTCAGCAATTCGTCCGCTCTCTATGTTCGCGACAATCGACTGCCGAGTATCGGCCGACATTACTTCGACGCTCTCAATCAGCTCACCTATCTGGACCTGAGGAATAATACAATCACCAATGTAGAAGACGGCGCTTTCGCAAATTTGAACAATCTGGAGACGTTGCTGTTGGATTACAATAACATCTCGGACCTGCGACCCGGCGTGTGGAAGGGTCTTTCGGACTTGCACGAGCTCTATATCACCAACAACCAGCTCACGTTGAAGCGGAACATGTTCAAGGGACTCAGACAGCTGGAGACGCTAGTTCTGGACTCAAACGACATAGCGGAGATACCGATTGGAGCGTTCAATGGACTAACTCACATAGATCTTCTCTATCTGTCGCGCAACAAGATCTCGACCTTGCACCCCGACGTGTTCCGTGGTCTCAGCGAGATAAACGAGCTCGACTTGGGCAGGAATCGATTGAGGACAATTCCCGCCAATGTCTTTCGGCATATGAAATCGTTGAACTCGCTCTGGTTGAACGGCAATCAGTTGACAGTGCTAAAGTCCGACACCTTCCAAGGTCTCGACAATTTACTGTTTCTCTTCTTGAACAACAACGATCTTCGTTACGTCGACATGGCGGCATTCGCGAAAATGAAGAACATAACTGTGGATCCCGGCTTCAAAATACGTGGCTCACTCGTAAACGACTTCGGGAGGATCCATGGTCAATATCAGTGCACTAGCGTGGCGTACCAGATACCGTACAACTGTACGGAGATCGATTTATAGATTCCAGGAATCAGACTGGAGCTCGTAAGCGAAAATTTTCGTATTCACGAACATGCATCCGAGAAAACCGAAAATAATTTGGATTATATTTAACAATAATATACACAAGAGTAATTTAATCTATAAAGATGTAATAGATACCCAAAAAATGTATTCGTAAAATGTATTAGTTCTTGATCATAATTTTTATTTCCATAATAATTTATGATACATTTGTTTGATATTTTTCTCTTACGTATATATGTGCACAAATATTATAGTGTAGTCCTAGCATGCATTCATTTTTAATTATTAACAATTTTCCAACTTTTTTCAGAAGTTTTTACAGGTTACGGTCAAGACAATCCTCCTCATCCTTGCTATTGGAAAACTTCTATGGATTATGGCTGGTACGCACCGACAATTCATACGGTGCCAACGTCGTATTATCCCCGAAACAATTTTTTCAGTGCCGAGCTCAACCGCGCGGGGATGTACAGAAATTGTTCCCTCAACACAGAACTTGATAAATCGTTGTTTTAAATTTTACAACATGTAACTTGTTTAATATCTTTAATATTATGATAATAATCGTAATATATAATGCATAATTTAAATATTACTGAATATCTTCGTGTTTTATCTATGTATGCATTGTTCTCTCTCTCTCTCTAATTTTTAGAAGTTATTAACATGTTTAATCGCTCTTTTTAAACATATATTTGAAAATAAAAATTGATACTGATAACAATTTTATTTTTATATGTAATTTCTTTAACTCTTTACGCGTATCGTATATATGTTATGAAGATATCGCGCCGAAGATATCGAAAGGTGAAAGGAAAATGACAACGCATGCATGTGATTTTACGCTTATATATGTTTTTATTATTACAGTTCAGCTTACGTATTGCATTAAACATAATAATGTAACAGATTCTACATCGGGGCGTTTTCGAAGTATACAACGCTCCATATCTAATGCGTATTATGAATATCTCGTTTGTTACCATTGCTGCAGAGATATTGATGATTAATATATCGTTTTGTTTCTTTTTTATTTCATTATCGAAGCGATTCATCTATACGTATCGCCTAGTAATCGGTAATCGAGAAAAAACATTTTGCTGAGTTTGACCTAAAATGACAGCTTCACGAGTACACATTAATGTTTATAACATTTCGCAGTTAAAACACTCGGTACCCGAATTAATTACTATATTTCACATTAATTATGGTAATACATTAGTAATGGTAACTCCAATACAACGTAACGCATATAATATATATTTATGTATATATAACATAATGGACATTTATAGTCGCGATCTATTGTTTTAACACATTTAAAGCCTAATCTACAATGTGCTCTCTGCATCTAGAAACATTCTATTTTATATGAACAAATCAAAACGCTTAAACAATTTGCCGACAATGTACGATTGTACAGTGTATAATATACAATTTATCCATTGCGCAAATTGTTTAAATGTAGTTATTGACTACAGAATAGAAAGTTTCTAGACGCAAACAGCATATTGTGGAATGAGCTTGGGAGTAAGATTTATTATAACAACCATAACGACTAGGAAACATTGAAAATGTTTTCTAATCTATTATGGGGTAAATATTTTTTTTTGAGATTCGTTACAGTCTGTTTTGTCTTGACGAGTTTTCTATTATTCAGAAAACTGCCTGACGCGTTAATTGCTAGATATTATTCTATTGATATTTCTGTTTGGTTAATTACGAACCACATCGAAACGTTTAACATTCTAAGAAACTGTTACCGTATCCGTCAACCATATAGATAAAACGTTAATAATACAAAAAATCTCATCATAATTTTCGTCCGTATTTGTATCATTAAATCGTTGTTCTTGAAAAAATGTTATATTAAATGCTAAATGAAAATACTCGTCGCAATGTATTACCATTTCACAGTCGTGATTAACAATCGAGAAGTCTTAATGGATATTGCGTTTTATTTTAGCGACACAAATTTCTCGCACTTTTATCGCAATATACATAATACCGATACAAAAGTTTTACAAAACTGCGCAAATATGGATATATTGCGCCAAAAAACAAAGAGTCCAATATCCTTACATTAAAATTAAATCGATAACTTCATCCAATTGATCTTCAATATTTATCGGATGTTTCGCATCAAACGCCGTTTTTATATTAGCATATGTTAGGCGAAAAACAGCATGCTTCGACTGAGGTATCTCGTCCCGAAAATGATCTACTCTCTACTTCTATATTTCATCTCGTTAACTATTGCGAAAAGGACATTGTCAGCACTGAACTCACTGAACGTTGATGCTCGCTGCTCATCGCGCTTTTCGCTCTTCGTTAATAGAAGTAGCTTGAATCGAGCGAATTTTTTAACAAGTAGAACATTGAAATTTTTATCAGCGCAGCCAAATTCACGCTTCATTATTTTCAAGATATTTCCATCATCAATCTTTGATGAAGCGATAAGTGCACGAGCGCAACGACCATCTTACGTGCACCTAATGATTAACGTTGCATATCATACCATAGGAATAATTACATATTTTTGTATTTGTATATGCGTTCGCATTTATATATATTTGTTATATATATTTGTCTTTATATATATATTATTTATATATTCTTTATATATTTTTATACATGTTCTCGTTATACACGTTCTCATTAATATTGTACTACACTTCTTTGCGTACTCACTAGAGGCTATAAATTTGTATTCTTACATTTGCAGAACTCATTTCATATTGATTTCATCTCAGAGCTCTTTGCCAAGCTCTGATAATCCTTAGTAATTAACGATGACAGATAGAACTCGCATTTTATGTATGTGATCTAATTCCTCCCCCATCGCGCTTAGCGGGGAGAAGCTACTCCGTTACTTAGATTTTCAATGATAATTTTAGCGCGCGCTAATCTACGGGCGCGCGCGACGTACTACGCGGTTGCTCTACATAGGCGTCCTTCGATCTCTTTCTTCCATTTTGTTAGTTTCCACCCGTTTCCACCGCTCAGGACACGTATTCGCTCTGTTGATTCGTTGTCCTTTCAGTGAACTACTAAAAATACGCTTAGATAGATTTATAAGTACCGTTAAAAGTTTATCGTTAAAAGGTAACGCGCCGCGCCATTCGCGATTTCTCTCTCTTTGGACTCTTACCGAACTGCATATTCTTTTCGCATCAATCTTGTGATCAGCGGACAAACCCTCGTAATCATCAATTTTTCCACCGTTCAAATCATGAAAAATTATTTGCTATCACATCTTATCATTTCATAAAGTAAAAATTCAGTAATCTCCATTTCGGATAAATTGTGCAAAGGTATTCACCTTTTAGTTTTTTTTTAAATTACCTGACCGACCTTCGATGCGGTTAAATCTAGTTCGTTTAATGGAAAGTATGCAAGTTGCAACGAAACCGTAAAATATAAACTAATAGCGACGTTATTAAATCTATTCTAAAATAATATTTAATTAATGCAAGCATATTAAAGTTCTGTAATTGGAACAGATATCAAAAAGGCCGCCGTTCATTCAGATCCTCGTATTGGTATACCTTGCATTTGTGTTGCATTACGCTCGAGATCACCACGATCCGTAACGAATCCTCCGCTCGTGCTCATCATCCATTACAACTCTATCATTTATTTTTTTTTACACGACGATTGAATCGCACTTCGCACGCGGTAATGTCAGAAGTCATCACCGTTGGTATTCAGCCTCGATTCAAGGTTCGTCGAAACGTCGGCCGCCGCGTGAATGTCAGCCAATTCGAAAGTCACGGTGGTTTTCGAGCACGTGGCGGCCAACGAGTCGATCCATGGACCTCGGTTCAACCCTTTCTCCCGCGTGGGTGGTCCGTTCGTGGTCATCGAAGCGTCACATTTCGATTCTCCCTTCCTCTCTTTGGTAGCACGATCAACCGTGCTCGCGCCCGGTAAGGATCATTCCGCTCGAGAAAGCGCGATGAACACGGGCCGCCCTTTCGTCGACATCCTACTAATCTACGCATCTGTTTTAGATTATATGTATATTATAATCGATTTGCATAATCGAACGCCCGACCAATTATGTTAATTTTTCAAATCCCTAACGAACCTACATAAATCTATATAAATCTACGTAATCTACATAGTTGGACTCGGGTTTATGTTCGTTTACACGACTTACTACACTGTTAAATTCGTAACGTTATATTTGACTCAGTAACGAGTCGCCACCGCTCCTCCTCAATATGTCATTATTTTTCACTGTCTTGCATGTTAAAATTTATTATTTTAACACAAAATGCAGTTAAGAAGCAATCACATGCTAATCAACCCATTTAATAGTTGCTTCTAGCTCGTTGTTTATTTAAATTAACGATATGTTGAGTAAGAGCGGTGAATCATCAGCGAGTCAACGACATTCACATTGATTAACAGTGTAAATCTTATTATTAGTTTGCTTTCCTGGCACGTTAGGCTGACTTTAATGATAAAGGATTAAGTAACATCGATATCATACCGTACAGTAATATTACTTATATAGCGTTACGATACGATTAAATTTTTTTGTATATGTGCCTATATATGTGTATGATTGGATGTCATACGTATTGGGCTAGCACGCATTGAAATCAAGGAGGTAACACACACTACTGGGTTGCGACGTATACGTACATGTATTTTCGTCGCGCCCACACGCTACGGAATTGAGATACTTTTTTTTTATCTTGAGTTACTATCCGTAACTCGCCGTAACCATACTTTAACATTAAATTCGTTACACACAGAATTACGCATTGAGTATTATCGAGAGACGAGCCGTCGTGTAATCGGGGGTAAATCGATGATGCGTACTCTATCCTATTGGCTTACTCCTCAGCTCAGATGCGAAATAAAAGTATACAACCGCTGAAAATGCGCCTCTTGCCGCTTTCGTTGTGAAGCACTTACAAAGTTACAAATTTTGGTGTTTGTGTCGGCCTTAACGAGCGCATCCCGTAAAGTAGCTAGCTACCAAATGCACCAAGACAATGGAACCCCTCTGTCTTCTACATCGAGATTTCTTCAATGTTTTCAAAATGTAGCAATCCGATCGCTTGTTTGTAACAGCAGTCGCATAGAGTCTTGCGTGACATCATTATGAGAACTGTTCTCATAAGCGTCGGTTAAAGTGAAGCCAATTGTTACAAGTGGCTTTCTAACTAGCATAAGGACGATCTTAGCAATTAGCAGACAATTAGCAAAGACATTTTTGTTAATCTTAAGACACACCGCGTGTTGTAATTCGCAATAACACGTATAGATTTTAATATATCTAACTATTCTACCATTTTCGTTGGGAGGTAAAGGGTAAAGGGGATAACGTTAGGATTGTAAATGGATGACCCCATGCTACTACTGTTAATCTAAAGCGAAGAGAAGGAAAGGAGGCACTGAAGCTCAGCGATCGTACCGCCAGGATGATATGTACGTAAGAGATTTCTCCTCGATGTACAGTGACGAATGCTCGGAAAGCGCAGTGAAGGATATAGATATATTTATATATATATATATATATGTATATACGAGCGTTACGCTATCTAAAGGCGTGAAACATGCGCGAATCCATAACTTATTGCACAATTCTCTCGCGATAATCAAAGGATGATCGTCGAGATCACGGGTATCGTTTATAATTTACCGTTCTTCAGTAAGCTCATGTTCCCTCTTGGACGAGGGAGGGAACATGGGCTTGCAATTGCGAACAGTTTGCTACCGAATTTTTGCTGTACTTCAATACCTTCGTTAATCTCGTTATATTCACAACGATCAATATTATGGAAAACACTAATTTGCTACAGATCGTTACATCGATTTTCGACGAACAATATTTTCTCAGCGTTACCGCAATCTCTTACAGGCGGTGATACACGGTCTATGTATCACCGCCTTCTAATACGAATTATTACAACTGCACGTTTATAAATCTCGCAGGTTGCACGAAGTATCTCGCCTTATCTAATATAGAGCGTGCGAAAGAGTATCTCGTTATATTCACAATGATCGATATTATGGAAATCACTAATTTGCTACAGCGATCGTTACAGTCATGGCTGCTGATTTGATGGTTTCTGAGAGTCGATGTACTTTTAGGATTTGCGACCCTAAAAGCAGAGATGACGTCAAATGCACGAACATAAGTGTCATCTCTTGAATGATGATTAGAAGTGAAATTATCGTGAAATTCCCATTAAGGCGATCTTATCGATGGAGCATAGTACGCGTGCTGTATATACACACGTACACACATATGTATATATTGTGGCGCGAGATCAATGAGACCGAATTCACGCTCGCGGTGAGAGAAAACGGTATTTATTATTCAATTATTTTCATTATTCGTAGCGTGATCACGTATACACAGCAACACGAGAAGTATCCTAGAGAATTGAAGATGCGGCATGGCTACCGTGCTAATCTACGGATATTGCTGGTGCGTTATTACTTGAACTACGGTGCAATCGGTGCATTCGAAAGGAAAATGAAAATACTGCTGCTCACGACACCACACGGTCACCGTAACTAAACATGCCACTGTATAACACTTTGATCCAAGTTATGATCCAAGCAACGAAATGCCCGACGCTGTATCGCTATTTAATCAAGATCAACATTGCAATTGTTCCAACGATCGTTTTGCGACAGTTGCAGATTAAACTTACAGCTTCGTGTTTACATTTAAACGAGGTATTGAATGATATGTGTTGCAAATAAGAAAATTTGCTTTAAATTAATTTCATATAATTAAGCTAAAAATACTCTTAACAATTGAGCTCAGTGTTAGCGAACGCTACTGATCGAACAATATATTTTCACTTTTATGAAAATTTATCACATAATTATAATGTTTTCTAAACTTTGCACAAGACTTAACAACAACTGATGTTTTAAATAGTGGTATGGTATCTGCGACAAGTCTTTTTTGAAAATTTTCTTCAAGAACTTGCAAAGCTGCGAAATAAAATTTTCGAAGATCGAGAAACAACGAGAGTCATTGAAAAACAGAAAAGACTCATTAATTATGCATATAGAAATTTACTGAGAAAAGCGACCAGCCGAACAAGATACGGACGCAAAATTCTCCATCACTACAGACAATCCCGAAGATCACAGTTACAAGGATTTTTTTCCGAACAAGCGAACCCTAATTCTATCCGTTGTGCCGATTCCAATCGGCATCAGTGATTTGACTAGGCTGCATCGCGTAGTTACACGTTGCTGCTTCTAGTTCCTACTTTTTATCTAGTGCCTAGATTCGCACCCCTGAGATATTCTTCAATCTGTAACCTCGTCTACGCATCTAGCGCTGATCGATTGATCTCCGCGCAGTGACGTGATTATGATTGTTTGATTGCTCTTCTCCGTACCGTGGCGTCAGCTCTGAAAATGGAATTAAAGATCTCTTTTGTGTGCGTCCAGCTGTTAAACCTTTCGTGCGATCTTCGTGTCCCTGTTTGACCCTTACTTTTTTTTCTTCCTAATCACAAGACTTGCTAGACTTGAAGTTTTCAGTGCGAGAAAAAATGATGAAAAAGAAACTACGAATTACATTTAGATATTTTCAAGGACGCAATTATGTTCACAGAAATATAAGCTACGTCAAACTATTGAAAAGAAGAACGTTAGGGGCTAAGACATCTGTTTCACTTGCACGAGATCCGCTGCTGAAAATATTCACAACGCATGGAAGACAATCTACCGTTATGTATTGCAGAATTGAAAATTGTTAGGATCGCGATTATCCCGGCGAAAATTATGACGTATACAAGAACTTACTTTTACGTAACGTATTCTTGCATCTCGACACTGCGTTCATGTTGTAACGGATGTAAGCTGTTGGACGGTACGCACACTTCTCCGCCGCGGTGAAGGTCAGTGAAGAAACAGTGTGTCTCAGCGAATGTACAAATGCAATGAGATCGAGCTTTATAAAAAGTACAAACGATCAAAAGTATCACGCGGTAAAGTGCAATGTCTGCTCAAAATACCTACTTCATTCTGCTTATCTGCAGAACTTTACCAACGTCGTCGCGTAACTTACGTTCCTCCGAAAAAATGTTTCATCTTCTACACTTTTCAATTGTCACCTGATATCGCGAAAAACGTGATACGAAGGACACTTCAGTGTCAAGGCACATGAAAATCAAACTGTCAGTTACTTATTACTTATGCAGTTAAAAAACCGCGAAAGAGAGATACGACGAAATCGTACAAAGTCAGATTTTCGTTACATAGAGTTTTATAAATGAAGCGCTGAAAATATAAAAAAGAAATCAATGGCGCTAATCGGACCCTGGCCTCCCGAAGGCTAGACAAAATCCATCAAATTTCGAAAAATGTAAACCCAGAGACTTGCATAGAAATTCTAGATATTTTGTATTTCATATTGCGAATCGGTCACGTACGAGCATATCGGAAATTTTCTGCCGTCTGCGGCTATTTCCCTCACCTTTAATTCACGTATATTTAATTTTTTTATTATGACACAATAATTTCCCGTTTATTTTACTTATTTATTTTACTTTATAACTAATATCAATGTGTGACTTGATCGATTTATATCGTCAGCGCTTCAAATAAGATCATACTTTCAAATAAATCGCCCTTCCCGTCAGTCGTTAAAATTTACGTTCTCCTTTTTATCTCTATCAACTGATTATATATTAATTGATATTTCTCGAATGTTTTATCACATTTAGCAACTGCTTCCGTTCAGCAGGATTTAAATTCGCAATAATTATTGCGTAATGTTGATCTATCCTTTCTTCAGAGCTGAAACCACGGTCGATTGTCTCACCTAATTTCTTCTTTAGTCTTATTTTATTAAGTTAGATCGATTCGATGAAAACTGCCCCTTCTTCGTACCGTACTCCGCGTAGTTTTAATTATGCTTATAACTGTTATACCTCGCCGGTATTACATTCAGTCTGTTTGAACATACATATGCGTATATGTATATATTTGCAGATCTATGTATCGGAATTATATATTCTGTCTCGCGTTGCATAATCGCATGCCGAATTTCCGGTCAATTTGACCATTTATTCTCATTTCTCGCGCCAAGATCCATCGCTTACATACGGTTCCTTAATGCTAAAAACCCAGCGACCAAATTTTCATGAATTTTCCACCGACGGCGTGGTCGCCCTGTGCAGCTCTAACGACAACCCGCGACGTGCGAAAATTTAGGAAAAAAAAGTGTCGCCACTTTCGGGATGCACGATAAATTTTTATCATTATCAGAAAATCTACACGCGTGATATCCTCCATTGGAAATTTATTAGTGTGCCGCGAACTAATTTATATATTCTTTACTGGCGGATAAAGAATTCGCGGATTTGGATTTGGATCTAAAGAAGTTCGACGTTTCGCGATATGGAAAAATTTCGCCCATCCCTGGTTATCTTAAAACTACTTGTGCGCTTAATAATAGAGACAATAGGTATATATATGCATATATATATATATACGTCCTCGCGACTTGTAGTCCTAGATGAAACCAAACGACCGCTTGCAGTCTCGGTTAGCCAAATGTTCAGAATAATGCCCGAATCTCCTCTTTTTTTGTCGTCTTCGATTATCTCGAATGACATAGGCGTACGAATATATTTTTACAAACATTGCGAGATCGCCCAAAAGACGCCCATTGCCTGCCTTAATTTCTATCTCGCAATGCATTTTCCCTTAATGACAATATGACACACGACGATCCGAACGTTAAGCCTAAAAGTGGATGCTCGAAGTAAAACCGGTTGAGGAGATGCCAGGGGCCTACGGAGCGATTCCTGCTTTTATAGTGACAAAGCGCGCTTATTGTTGACGCAAATTTCACTGGATATCGCGGTAGTAATTCAACTGACATCAAGCTGATATTAAGTGAGTTTCCATTTTCTTCGACTGAACTTGCCTAGCTTTTAATTCGTCAGAGTGTACACGGATTACATAGAGCCTACTTTATTCCCCAATGTATACATACACACATGATCATGATGCTTTCAATATACAGTGCCTACCTCGCTACCATACAACGCGTTAGCTTATTAAATTGTTGAAAGAGAAAATCTTGGTTTTTTTTCCTGATCAGTAATTATCGGTTTGTTCCCCGCTCGGCCTAATTGACGTTCATAATTAAAGTGCTAAGAATGCGAGTAGACCGAGTCCAAGTCCAGGGCTTTGAAGAAGTTTAAGCGAAATACCCAGAGAGTTGCTTCGTGGCATCTTAAATCATGTCATTTGGTCTATTCGTACTTTTAACACTTTAATTGAAGAAGCCCTTATTTTCCGATAACTTTCTATTAAATTGAAATGATTAATGCACTTCGCGTAGCATGCATTTTCGCGAGTTTTCTACGACAATCTGCAAATATATAGATATCTACACGCTCCGCGTCAACTTTCGCACGATTGGCGCGTCGAGTGTGATGCGCTTCATTCGTGGAACATGCTTAGCGATCGTCGGAGAATTTCATGAGTTCGTGTTATTGGTGCCGACTTGTTGTCATTAGCTACCTCATCGCGAGAGTGCCCGACGTCCACACTCTCGCTACGTCGGCCATATCTTGTGGTCTACATGTCCCCAAAAATGCCAGCAAATGTCTTTCGCAGATTCTTCATCGTGTCCTCGGTGTCCTCACCCTGGGCCTGCGACTGGCTGCCCTGTCGATGGAACGGCACTCTGGTTGTCGGTGGTTCTTCGGTACGTCGGCCGACGGACGGCGCGCTGCTCACCGTGCTCGATTGAGAAGCTACGAGAATTGAAACTCGATAAAGAATTGATATACTTGCGTGAGAGATATAAGAACGAAACCAATATTCTTCAATCGATTGATTTAAAAGTATGGTCTTATCGCGCAATATTTCTTTCTTATCTTAATGCGCAACATTTTCGGCTGAAAGCAGCAGAACAAACATTAAAATGTGTCTTTCACGTGAGAAATATTCGAGCTACGCATTCAAATCTCAACACATAATAGTTTATTAGTAATATTTATCTTTAACAATTTTGTCTTTATATCAGTCTTCTCTTGAAAGTGGAATAAGGGAATTTGGAAAACTTATATTTTAAGTTAATCAGATTTCATTGTGAATCGAGAGCAGTTGTAAAAAGACAGAAGTATGTACCTTGAGAGTCACGCCGTTGCAATTGATGATGACTATCCGAGGCGGTGACATCGGCTGTAATCGGTGGTGCGGTGGAACCTATGGAACCTAAGCTGCCTATACTAGCCATCGAGCCTATACTTCCGTGGGATCCCATAGGTGCAGTTGGAGGTGCAGTTCGATCTTCTACCGGACTACCCACTTGGCTAGAACCCGACATCGAGCCCCGCGAGGCGGTCTTCGTTAACATGCTTGGAGGTCGACAATAGACCTGCACAGATGGAATATTTTAATTGATGGATCGCTGGATGAGTCGCGTGATCGCTCGCGATTAGCACGTACCTGCATCTTCGCGGTGACCAAGTCCGCGATGTGACGTCGATCCTCTTCCTGAGAGTCACCCATTAAAGATAGCGCGCTGTCGTTGACCTCGATAATATGTTCCCGGCCGTCCTTGCCAACTAGCAATTCAATCGCACAGATATCCAATCCTCCAAATAATTGCGCCACATGGTCGACCCATGTACGATGTCGCTCGCTTACAGAAAGCTGTTCCAGCATAGCTGATCCGGTGTTCGATTTCCAGTTGCCACTTATGCTTTTTCGCCTACAGAAATATACGTTCTTACACGGTTCAATTATTATATTATTAATTGTTCAATGTACAAAACGATGTAGCTAAATTCTTTGGAATTATCATTAATTGAACTCACAATCAGTAGAGAAAAATTGGAACCAAAAATTCGGAGGAACGTGCCGTCTCCTTTAAATCTTTTCACGAGTTTTGAAATAATTTCTATGGTTATTTAAATTCTCTCGGAGCTTTGACACTTCAAATGTTACGCTCTCTTGATTTCGTACTTTGACGACTTACATGAAAGCCTTGTAGTTGTTCCCGATTTTCTGCACGTGCACGTCGTACTTGGTGTCGATGTAGGGTTCCGCCGTGCAGTAAGTGTTCGCCATAGCTGCCAACGAAGCGAGATCTAGAAATTCCTGATTTGTTTCCGCACGGGCCTTGCCGGTTCCGCCGTGGGCGTGGCCCAGTTTCACCACTACGGGATATCGAGATGCGCTCACCTGCAATCAGAATAGATAATTGCTCCATGAGTTGTTAAGGAATAATTAGGGTGCAAGCATCCTGTCAATGATCATCTCTTTCTCTCTCGTAATAACCACCATTCGATTAGTAATATCTGACCACCGTGATATATATTGCTGCATTTCGCTGTATGCATAATTAAAAACATGAACGAATCCTCAATGATTATCTGAACATGTTGTCTATTATGCATTTTTCATTACAAATGACGGTGTCTCAACGTGAAAAGTTATTACGATAGATAGAAATCTGTTATAGAGAGAGTCGTCAAAAACATATTTTTAAATATATTATGTTTCGTACGTATCGCTGTAGTGCATTGCACTGTAATTTTTGATATTTAAAAAGTTTTTTATTTAGTGTCATTTAACATCTGTAGATATAAATAAAATCAAATTAAATGAAAAACGCATTGAATCAGTGACACAATTTATAGACTGAACGTAACGAGATAAAAGATCATTAGCGATATTTAAATACAATGTTTTTGTAGCACTTGTCGACAATACAATATTCCTTCAATTAGAAAAATTGCAGAATAATTTATTTACATATTTAGTATTGATCTTGAAATTATTTTTGCCACAAAATAATAAAACGGTTTGTTCTCATTGTATTTTATGACATTATTTGACATTAATTTAATAATTTTGCGAGAATAGGATTTTAATTTAGTTCTTTCTCTGTTAGAATACATTACGCCAATCCCGACTTCACTTTAGCTCACTTTATCTCACATTAATTGAATTAGTACAGTAGATAAAAAGCAAGAGAGACACGCTTCTCAGGATATCCCGTTAGCGCAGATAACTATGGAATTTCTTAATGTGATAGAAGAAGGACATAAACGCGAGAACTTAAGTGCATATGATTGTTGAATCGGATTTGTACGGTATTTATTAGATTCTTCGCTTGTATTTTTCGTATTTTCTATATTAATCTATCTTAGGTATTTTCCATTACTCTTTACGTGTCCAATTAATTTTATCATTTTCTCTATTGCTTATTGAATTATACATAAAATACAATTGACACCGGGTATTCAAACGTACATGAATTTTAATAAATGTATCGTAAACGGGGAAAAATGTTGTATTATCATAATTTTATATCGATTACGTGATTTATTAATTAATAGTATAATTAATAATACAGTTGTAATAGTATATGTATAATTAATAAAATTCATAATATATATATAATATTGCATATTCGAAAAATATAAAGAAATACACATTAAATTATAAATCATATTTAAATCTATTTTAAAAATATTACAGATTATATTTAGATACACCGTGCGATTGCGTACATCGCAGCTTGCGTGTTACAACGGTTAATCGTAAACGTGGTATTTCGAATCGAATTATTGATTTTGGCTCATCTTGTGAATTACCGCTATCGCGCGAGCAATAATTTTTTACTACTACGGAAATGGAATCTGTGCTAAAATAGTGCGTATCTCGTCGTTAACGATCTGTTTACAAGCGGTACGGACATGAAAGAGGAAGTGGCTGCTTAGTATCTTGCTCCCATGCTAGTTGAACGGCCGTATCCGGACCCAATCTCCGGCGATATATGTAATATTGCATGGCGTGATACGAGAGTGCTCAATCTGCTCGTGTGAGAGCACATGTGTTCGTATCGGCATGTGGGTGTTAAAGAAATGCTTTCTGAGCACCGGTGGAACGCACATCGCTCTGCACACGTAGGCAGAGAAACGGTGCACGGCTGAAAATGCGATTGTGAGAAACAAATAGAAGGAGATTAATGGTTAAAAAAGTATTATTGCTATCTATTTAAATATTGTTATTACTACGTCGATATTATTAAGCGAAAGTTGCTGAAGAGTATCGATAGAAGATATGCATGAAGGATATGCGTGCACGAAGGAAAAAAGTATTTAATTATGATTACTGGCATGGGAGATATCGATAAGTAAAATGTTTGATGAGGCGAGATGTAGGCGAACGGTTCGATTTAACAAAAAAAAAACCAGTAGAAGATGAAGAAAGGATAAGAAGCAAATGCAGAGATGTCTGATCGAAGGTGGCGACTGTTGCAGGGAGGAGATCTCGAAGTGATCTTGAAACCGGCGGGCTTGACTCTAGGCAACGGATGTAGAGTGCGGTAGGTAAAAGCTCTCTTGCTGCAGTGATGGAGAACGAGAGAGATAGAGCCAGTGGTCGTCGATAATATAAGCGGTATTCACAGTCAGGACTTAGAGTAAGCTTAGATGTAACGCGCGTAAAGTCTCGAGACAGGCTGAGATAATCGCATAGTGGGTTTTCAAGGTGGCCTTCGAGGTATCGCGTTAAATCGTCTTTTTTTTTCTCAGCTCTTCTTAAAATACAGGCAGGTATGCGCACTTTCATAATGGCATCTCTTGAGAATATCGCCTAAGAAGAAGACAAATAGCTCCTAAATGTCGAAAGCTTGATCAAGCAAATACGCAGAACTATGAAATTGAAAATGATTTGAGGTCATCTTCAGAAGTAAAGTGACCTTCATGAATCATACTGTCGGACTTGTCTCGATTATGAACACGGTCATGCGAAGAAGGAAAGTCTTTACTAAGGCAAACGTGTATATGTATGTTTTAAAGAGTGAACCGATTATTAAACCAACTGATTGTGCATTTAAGCGATCAGTTGTCTACGGAGAAAAAGAGACGTCTCATATATCGGCATAGCCTTTCAAGAAAATCATGTTCTCGTATCTCAAATTCAGTATATTTTCTTTCCAATCAGAAGAATATATCGAAAGCTAAACGTATTATCTTGATCTAACGAAGCAATTTCCGACAGAAGATCACGTACGGTATATTCTTCGTTCGTAAACCGCTGCGGGAGATGGACGAATTAAATTAAACTGGAGCAATTGGCGCGGCATTGATCGCAAGACAAGGACGAATCGTGAGAGACGGAGAGCATTTGAAAAAGAAGAGAAGTGGAAAGGTCGAAAGATTTGTAATCGGTAAGAGCAAGAGGCGAGTGCGAACGGGGAGATCACAGCCGATCGGACGAGGATGGTCGCGCCTCGTCGATGGAGTAACAGAGAGAAAGGACAACGAGGATGGAGAACGTCGGCATCAAAGATCAAAAGAGAGTAGGAAGCGACGAGAGAGAGAGAGAGAGAGAGAGAGAGAGAGAGAGAGGGAGAGAGAGAAAACGAACGATGGTGAACGAGTGTGCACGTCGTCCAGTGGAGAGGGAAGGAGCAAAAGAGAGACCACGAGGTAGACGGACAGGGAAAGCCCAGGGTGAGAGGGACGGGCAGAGAGCACGAGCCAGGAGCCCGACGTAAGAACGTAGGAAGGAACGAGAGCCCGGCGTGTCGCTCGCGCTTGCATTGCTTTTCGAAGCTCGCGCGCGATCGGTCGCACGCTCGCGAGGTACGTGCGTGGTGCAGACTCGTGAGACGTAGGCGCACACGTGTATAGAGAGAAAGAAAGGGAGAGAAAATCCCTCCAGTCCCGTTCTGCGCTTTCTTTCCTCTCTCTCTTTCTCTCTTTTCCCCCTTTACCTCTTCCTCGCGCGATCGATGTTATCTCGCGACGAGGATCCTTCTTCGTGCGCGCGAGAAAGTGGCCGGCTCGTCGAGATCAAGATCGGATCCGCGGTAAGGCACGAGTGCAGTTTTTCTCGGCGGTATCGATCGGTCCCGCAGCTCCGATTCGGTGATTATTATGCCCGTTGATCTGTGAGATCCCGAGACGCAGACAAGAGACAGCGGGAAAAGGCGGAAGAGGCTGCGCCGAAGAATCCGGGCGGAGGAATCGAGAGAAGGGGGGTCACCGGAGAAAGGTAATCTGTACACCGCATTGTCGGATTTCCACTCTGTAATTACAAGTACGCGCTTCACAGTGCGATCATTCCTGTGCAATTTCCGAGCGAATGCACCGCGAATCGTAAAGGAACTTGTTCGGTTTGAGGTTCAATTTGTACGATCGAATGGGATAAAATTCGTAATCAGGTTATAGGCGGAGTTGCGAAACATGAACTCGAAATTGACCTCGCTCTGCGAGCGTGCGTTTGCGAAAATTCAGATATCTGACGGAATATAAAACACAAGAGAGCATTAGAGGAATTAACATTATTGGAAACGTATAGACATGCATTCGAATATTCCATATTTCAATATCTTTCCCATCCTTATGTGAACAAGCATTTTAATCTAGTCATTTAACTTTTGACATTTAATTTATTTATCTGCACAGCGAAGACATTTACATATTTTAATATTTTAATACAAATGGTAAACGTTATTCCATTTGTATGCATGATAATAATATTTATGTTGTCATATTAAAAAGAGATGTCATGCGTAATATTCTACGATTATAAAAGAAAAACATTTTTAACATATTGAAATTGTCGTGCACGGCACCTACATTTTTATTAAATTGAAAAGGAACATATTAGTTTTTATACTTTTCATCAGGATTTAGCAAACGTTGGGAGATATAACAGAAATAAGATCGATACATGAATTGAATGATTGGAGGAAGTAAAACGCGGCACCCAACCAGATTGAATAAATAGAACGCTCGAATGTGTGTGGTCAAACGAGTCGATCTTATGAATGTCGATCCATAAAGGGTTGGACTCACGTACGATAAATACATAGTACCCCGTACAGAGTGCACGTAGTAAACGTAGAAAAATACACAGGTTAAATAGACAAGTGATTTTTCAGTGTGTTGTATGTATAAACGTTCCAAGAAATTTCCGGTGATATAAAAATATTAAATAGATTTTTAACGGCAACATCTCGGCGACATTGCTCGTATCTGGAAAGGTTGACAGGGATTTCACAAATAATTGTGACAACTTGTCGTACGACTATCTAATAAAAATTTCAATTTCATTTGAAAATCGTCTGAATTAACATTTTAATTTGAACTTAATAGTCGTTTTATATTTGAGAGAACGTAACGATGGGCAGAGGAAAATGTTTCAGCAGATACTGCTTTAAAATAAAATCCTTTAACTTAAGACCAGCTTTGAGATCTACGCTGCGTCTCTACGGGCGTTTCATTAATAATGATGTCATCTGCAATTACAATTTGCGATGATACGTACGTCCGTCGTTTGAGTAACGATTAACACAGCATCTTAGACGCGCGTTTATGGCTCTCGCGCCAGTTGATGAATGCTGCGCGGATCGTTTTCCAGCAATTGATACTACTAGCGAACGTTTAAAAGTCCATCGGGTAGTGCGTGAAATAATAGAAAAAAAAGCGTGAAAGGACAAATGTGCTGCATTACCGTGAATTTTCCAATTCGCAGCAAACAACTTCTGACATTGATGAATGATTATCGTCCACTATCGCGCGCATTATAGGCATAAAATCTTTTCATCGACGGATTAAAATCGCGCATGTAATAGCCTCGCGTTTCGGAGCGCTCTTTGCGAAAATTACGATCTCTGCGCTCCGCGCAATTACTTGGCTAGCCTGCGATAAGCTGAAATTGAATTGTGCCGTTGATGACGCTGCCGATTGGCGCCTAAGTTTAGCCCGCTTCTGGGAAAGCAATTTCAATAAACGGACCGTAGGAAAATATGAGAGCGCACGTTCGAGACCGCCTCTACAAGTTAGTCCTACTCCTAAGTACATATGTACCTCTCCGCTCACAACGAGTTAACGATCGATTCTCCCACGTGAGTCGTGGGTGACTATTTTCCTGGCAACGGTCCTAGCTTACCCAGCATCCGAAATAACGTATTGCCGTTGAGCATTTCGTGTCTCACGGGACGCAATATGAGAAAATGGTTTGGCTGCCAAGGGACAAGGCGTGCGCGCGAACATTTCACGTGACGCGTCTCCGGGTACAATTTTCATCTCAAAAGTGCTTTAAATTATATTTAACGTATTTTACTTTTTATTCTTCTACGAATTAGACTTTATTACGAGGCGTCACGTTATCTCTTTACGACTGTCATATTAAACTGTAGTAAAAAGTACCCCTGTTTTTCACCTCTGACGTGCAAGATGAGTTTCTCGCGTCGAGCAATGCGTCGAGATAAATTCTCAGATGCCCGGCGTGACACACTGACATATCGACCTTCGCGTATTCCGTGCAACGAGGCAATGAGTGCACCGTGTGCATTAATACGCCGGAGGTTGGCCCGATCGATCGAGGAACGCGCTCCGATGCGGGCTAAATAATTGCCATTTCCATTGCCGCTATCGCCGTACTCGGCAAGTCGAATCCCATGGATTTTTTCGCGGCGCGCGACCGGCCCTCATTGTGCGATTACGCGCGAGAGCGGGATATAATTCATCGTCGTGGCGCGCCGTAAACGCGCCCGCCGTATCGCCGTGTATAACATTACGTTTATTACGCGTGTTACTTCTCGATACACGACGGCCGGTGCGGCGCCAACCGGCCGACCACCACTGTACACGCATTCGGCGGATAAGTGATATCGCACCGCGCGTTTTATTTCCTTTCAAGGAATATGTGGACGCGGCACCGATCCACCTCGTGATCCAGCCAGATTAGAAGCGCCGAGTATTTATAGCCGCGCGTTACTTCGTGATTGCGCAGGTACGAAACGCGCGAGGAATGCACTTCGGGGATCATCCCGGTGCGGCGATCGCGCGACGGATGCTGGCGAAATATCGTACGGCGAGATGTCGCGGGTCTGCCTGCGCAACACGGCACTCCATCCTACTTTTCTCTCTAACGACTCGGCCATCGATTTTCAATAGGTCTCGATATTTATATTCACTTTTCTCGATGTTTCATTAACTTTTACTACTCTGTTCCCAATACCTACCACGTTATACAATAATTAGACTTGGTTATCTCTGCTGTTTTAATATTTGAGGTTTGACTTCCAATTTACGGTTGGAGCTGCGTAAATTCGCCACGTTACCTCTACGTTTCGCGAACATTTCAGTTCACTTCGGGATCGAGTTGTTCCTCCTCCGATGCATCGTCGGGTTGTCCCGCCCTGATGAAACGAGTTGGAAACGTTTCGTGCGAAACGTGTCAGAGTAAAATGGCAAACTTATACGGCGTCTCCTATTCTATTTAACGATACTTGCGATGCCTGTAGGATTATTAAACGCAAGATATTGCATAATCTACTTATGTAAACTACTACTGCTATTCCAAAATTTACTACGTTAACGGCGCAAAATTTCCGAGTAGCTTATGCCGCAAACGTATGCACGAGTTGTCCGATAAATTACGGAAGTTGGCCTCGTTCCAGTACCTGGTGATACGTCCCGTCTAAAATTGAAATCTCGTTGAAATGCAATAGAGAAGCTTAATTTAATCATTCAACTAACGACGCAGTCAGTCATACTAATCGCCAAGTCGCACAGTTGCCCCAGCGACATTGCGAACAATCGGTGCCAAGCATTGTTTGGATCTAGAGTTTCTTATCGTTCCGCTCGGCGGCGGTTGCGTTCTGAGATCGTAGACAGCATTTCGCCGGCGAGCGATATCCCGCCGCGATAAACGCGCGATCATTTGCCGGGGAGATACCGATCGCACGGAGGAGGAAACGATCCCACGCCGCGTAATAAAACGACCATAATGACCCGCGCCCAGTGACGGTCAGTCGGCGCGCGGGCCGAGGCGCAGGATTAATATCTACCTCGGCAAGAAAGTGCGAATGAATGGTGTCGCGTGAAACTGCGCGACCTCCGGCGTCTTTCCACCCGGAAACACCGCGGGGCACCGTAGTTCCCACAACAATTAACCGCGGTTCAAGAACCTTCATCGCGACGCTACACCCGCTAATGAGCAGAAAGAGCAGCCGGCTAGCAGAAGGCAGTCCTCGACATCAAAGGTCAAAAGTGAGCGTGTTGGAAAACTGATTATTTATAGACATTTATGCGAGATCGGAAAAAAATGCCCATGGAAATTGCTTTACACCCTCAGAAAGGATTTCTGTTACCGAGAGAAAAAATATTCTTGACGCATATTTTTCACAACCTTATTTAGTATAAAAATAAGACAATGTCAAAATAAAATCAATAATTTTTATTCTCCTCTGTCGAATTAAAACAGATTGATTTACTGTATTGAGACAAGAGTAACTTCATATATTCTTGCGTTTAGAATAAATTCTCCCTTCATCTTACAACGAAGGTTGACACCACGATGTTCGACAAAAGACGATACATACTATCATTTTATTCTAGAGTTTAGAATTTTTTATTTAAGATTAAAATATTCTTTTCTCTATAATAAATATGATTGGCGCTATATCGATCCTATTTTATGATACATTGAAGTGTAATAGCATTGGATCCGGACATTTTTTCTGTGGGTGTATTGTTACTACAACAACGAGAATAAAGGTATAATTAATGTCGAGACACAACAGCGGACACGACTAATAATTCTGTTTAATAACGCACCGTTTAAAAACGCATCGCGAATGTTACAGTCTATAAACCGAGCATAATAGGTGACAATTATCCAAGTTATTGAATCAGCTAAACAGGTTTCTGCTGGCTAAATATCAACCTATCGCGTCTTCCTATTCAAGTACTGGCCGTACGAGTAAATATGAAAAAGTAATAAAAAGGCGAATTCCATTGACATATATTAGAAAACGATAAAATATGCCGGAATCGCGTGGATAGTTGTCGTAAACGTTAAGTGGTCGTGTCGTAACTCGAGGAAATGTTGAGAATGTTTACTATGTGTTAAGTGGCTCTTAACACGAGCGTCATAAAACGTCGAATTAAATCGTCGCGCCCGTCATTAAATCTAAGCGAAAAGACACAGGAGCCTGTGTCATTTTATTAATTAACCAATATATGAACGTCCGCGTTTGT